TATGTTGACATGACATCAAACATTTGCCCCTTTCTTTAAAGTAAATGCATGCGGTCAAATAAAACTTTTAAAGAGGAGCTTCTTAATTCAACATACATTTGCATGAACTGAAGCAGGCTCGCTATTTAAGGGCTGAATGCTCCACTCGCCCTACCCATGACGGACTTTGGGACGGTCCTTAATGGGGCGGACCCTCCAGGGAACACGCAGAGGTCAGTGCTTAGGGTTATTGTTTAGGGGCCGGTTTGGGAATCAGTGGCTATGTCTTCCGAAGGCCGCATGCTTTGGCCGATTACGTCACAGCGCAGCACCGTGGGCTCTTCGGATTCTAAGGCCCAATTCCTAAATACTACGTTACACACTGGGCTTTAAATAGGCACGCATTAGCACACAGAACAGTAGTAAGAATTTCGACATCCATTCTTTAACTGCTTTGTGCATCAACTGTCCCGGATGTTAGGCAACAGAGCCTACGCTGAGCTGATTGGGAGGCGGTTCTGTTTGAATCTATAACCCAAATCTTCCAGCCTCCTTCTTTTCAGGGCCTCCAAAGGATCCAGTCCAGGTAGGCTGAGTCATTCGGAGGACCCAGCAGCCGAAATCGAACACAGCCACTGCCAAGCTGTACTGATGCTGATTACTGACATCCCTAAAAGTCCCTACAGGCAGCCTATTCAACAGACTCAACTTACAATGATTTGATGACCTATAATATAATTTAAATCATCGCTATATTGGATTATTTCCTATCTTTATTTGAATTGGAAATAACTGTAATATTTTTAGACACAAACAATAAATAGAACAAGCATTAACATGGCGTAAAAATTTAAGTGATCACGTGAATGAGGATGCTTGTGGGCTAGGATTTTTTTATTTACTTATTCAAAACATAACTGCATTAAGACTAGTGAACTAAGAGTCCATCTAAAATGTATTTAAATTCATAAAAGCTGAGTTATAACAGAGGAAAGAATGACACCACAAGAAAACTAACGCAAATATGAGCTCTAGGGCTGCAACTAAGGATTACTTTGCAAATCGATTAATCTGTCGATTATTTTTTCGATTAATAAATTAATAATTGGATATCCAAAGTTTCCTTTTTTGATTTGAGGAGTTGTCGATAGAGCATATTGACAGACGAAAACATCTTTATCTTAAATGCAAAATGTTTTTATATTTTTTTTACAATTCTGATTTAATTACTGCTCTAAGTGGGTCACTCTCTGAAGTAAAGGCATATCTTAAAGTCTCTATACTCCAGGTAATGATTAATCAATAACTAAATTAGATGACAATTATTTCAATAATCGATTAATCTGATTAATTGTTTTAGCCCTAATGAGCTCCAAACAAAGACAAAACATTATTTCTACCAAAATAAAACTCAGATTAAAGATCAGTATGTTGTGTGGTGAACCTCACCTTGGTTGTGTTTTGTACCAAAGGGTGGATTCATTATAACCGTATCAAACCTCTGAGCATAAGCCTCAGCTTCTAGGTGGCATAGATCCCACTGGAGCAGATCCACGTTGGAGAGCTCAAACTCTTCTGCGTTCCTTCTGAATATCTCCAGTGCGTCCTCATCGATGTCAAAACCGACACACAAACTACAGAGAAAAAACATCAGACACCAGCTCCACATCCAGGACTGCTGCTGCGGATCTTCCTCTCACCCAGCGTCCAGCATGGCAGCCCCGATGCTGAGGACCCCACAGCCACAACCCAGGTCTGCCACCAGTTTACCCTCTATGTCGTCAAACGTGCTGTGGATCGTGTAAAGCATGCATGCTGTGGGAGCAAAGGACCAATGTTTTTGAAGTTATACTTTTGTTTAAAGTATGCAGTGTGCGATCCCCTATTCAGATGCGCTCAGCCTCACCTGCAATGTGCGGGCTGGTTGGATACTGCTCCAGCAGGATTTTAGGCTCCTCAAACGTGTCCACCTGCTGCAGACAGCTTTCTAACTCCTTCAGCTTCATTTCGCACTACTGGGATTTTTCCACAGCAGTGTAAGTAACACCGCGAATAAACATTAAATGGTATATTTTAGTGACAGTGGAAGTTAAAGGAAAACTACACGTTCCTCATCACGCTGGAAGAACCAAAACAGTCCAAAGAATAGTTCTTCTTTTTTTATGGTTGGCGAGCAACTTATTGATGCGCATTACCGCCATCTACTGGAATGGAGTGTGGATCGGGACGCTGTACAGCGCCGCAATAGTTCTTCTTCATTTGTTTTATGGCGGATCGCAAGCAACTCAAGATGCCTATCGCCACCTACTGTACATGACTGTGTAGCAACATTACTTTATATAAAAAAAATAAATTAATTAATTAGTCCGAAGAATAACAATTAATCCTTTTTGAAATCTTTCCTTCATTTTCCAATATTCCTTTAAGACTCCATTCTTGGCCTAACCTTCCAACGTTTTTCTGTCCCCCATATGCGAAAAATAAAACTTCAGGCAATTTTTTTTTCTTTTTCTTGATTTTATTTTGGTTGATTGGAGATTAAGCTAAATGACAGTACTTATTGATAAGAATATCTGGTTGTGACTGCACTTCAGTTTTGTGTAAACAATGAATTACTCAGTAAACTGTGCATTAATTGATTAATATTATATTTATTATATTTTATTATTTAAAAAAACTGAAATGTTAGAACTGTAAATATACAGTAATATGTTTATATTACTGTTTTAATATGTTTTTTTACTGTTTTCAAGGCTGCATTTTAAAAGAATGAAATTGTCTAGAGAGCTGTTCTTAAAGAAATTTCTTTTTGTTTACACTTGTGTATACAAAATGACAAAATAAATATGTCTAAGTCTATACTCAGTGCTGATCCTGATAAGAACAGTAACTGTACTCGAACTGAACGGATTGCTTTGATGTGAACACACCATGAGGACCACCATGTGGATTCAGCATCTAGCTACCACAGGAACACATGGAGACCAAAGAGGCTGTGAAGCAGACCATACGAGACTCTGATTGATTAATTAGCTTGATGAGTGATAGAGACACTGACAGAATTTTGGGGACAGACAGTTTTCTCCTCAGCTATGTTCATCATTTGACTTCAAATCAGACCAGGATAATTCTACATTTCTAACTCATTGTGATTATGACTGATTAATTTTGATTTGTTTTGGAGCATTTTGCTCCAAACCCACACCAAGATCAGGTTTTATGTCACTTTTTGCTTTGTTCTTAAATAACTGAGGATCTGATTGGCATAAAAGGTCTATCAATTAGATGTTAATGGTAATTATAAGACTCAAAATGGGGTTTTGTTGCTAACATGGGCTGACAGCAGGATTTCCCCAGTGTAACCCTGGTTTTTACTAACTTTTTGAGAATGTAGGGTTTTCTGTGACTTACTGTGATGTCCCCTACTGTGACTGAGCGATTGGTAAATTTGGATGGATGGTTTATCTATGATGAGCAGTCACAGGAGGCCTCCAGGTGGGAGTGAGAGTAGAATAATTTGACCTTATTACAGCTATCATGTGTACATAGGAAACAAAAACAGCTTCGATTTGCTAAGATGAAACCCAAATTGCAGTTAAATGCTGAAACTGTGGTCTTGATTGACAAAATTTGGTCTGTGAAGTTCTGATTGTGATTGCTTTTGACCCCTGATTAATATTACATCATCAGCGGGACTGCAGATTGTTTATTCCTATTGATGATGTTGAAAGAAACAGTACTTAAGGTTTTGGCTCTATTTTAATATCATAATCATGCACATACATGAATAGGTTTTCGCACATGCAAGTGTTTGTTTAAAGGTGATTGTAAAAATGTCACCTTTTCAGGGGAAATTGTTAGAATTATTTTTAATGAAGATGCGTAAGTCTGTTATCTCAAGCATAGTAATGCTAATCACTCAACATTTTCCTTTGTGTAATAAAGCTTTGCCTTATTTAGTGCCTCTTCAAATTGTCAAAGTGTTTTATACACATTTAATTCCACAAAAACTAAACTTCATTATTTTTGGTGCAGAGTTTGCTCATAAAATGTTATTACAATTCAGTTCTGTAAGAGAATTGCCACCACTTTTCTCTAAAGACTGGTAAATCATCTATAGCTTTGATCTTCAACACTACACATTGGTTTGGAATGTAAGATGCTCCTCTGTAAATGCTAAATTTTTCTATATCACCATTTCAACCCAAGAGACTCCAAAGCACTTAATAGTCAATCATTAACAAGCACATTCAAACAGATGGTGACAGGTTACATTTAAGCCATAGCTGCACTGGAGCAAACTGATAGAAACAACGCTGCCAGGTGCCACGGGCCCTCTGATGGCTGTAGGACAATAGTAATAGTATGATTCAGAAAAAAAAAAAAAGTATCTTTACCTTTTAACAACATTTCTGTTTAACAGAGGAAGCTGTCATATTCAACTGTACAACACCCTTAAGATAACCTGTCTTAATGTAAGATAATGAACCAGTGTTGCAAATCTCCCTAACCCTAACCCTAACCCAGTACAAAGTACCTGAATACAACCATATGTGGCACACTGACCATGGAAATATTTTTTATGCAAAAATTTTTATCTATTGTAATTAATTATATTTTAACATTGTTTTTTTACATTATGAAAATCTACCTTAAGGAAATACATATGTTGGATGTAATAACACAGAAGCTTGTAACCCTTGTTTGAAAACATTTATAGGCCTTTTTTATTCTATTGTTTTCCAAATAATCATTCACTTAATTTGTATATTGTACATAATAGTCTGTGTATTTTCTGAAGACTAGAGTAGGGTGGGACTGTCCCAAATTTAGTTGCCTAGAAACGCCCAAACACAACAGCACTTGGATGAGTGTACAGGAACTGAGGTAATTAGACAAAGAATACATTATCTTTATTAGAAAAATAATACACAACACAGGATTAGCGTTAAAGCAGTAGCAGTAAAGGGCACGTAATGTACTAAAGGAATATAGCAGCTTCCAACTACGACTGGAATAGACTTCCGGTATCGCGAGAATACCCGAGAATATGAAAACAAGACAACAAAAATAAATTTGTGGACAACAAGCCAGAGTGCATGATGGCGGCGTCGCTGCTACGCCGGGACAAGAAAACTACTGCCGCCCACTTGAAAACAGACTTAACCCGGACTGACAACAGCTCGGGGCTCCGACAACTTCAGGAGCTGCTCGACGCTGTACTAAATCCCGAAAAACCAGCTGCGGACACAGAAGCCCTGGACTGGTGTAAATGCCTGATCGCAGGAGGCGAAGGTTTCGAGGAGTTCTGTAAAACGGTCCGCTCCTATGACAACGCGACTCTGTGCGGGCTGGTTTGGACGGCTAATTTCGTGGCGTACCGATGCCGGACCTGTGGCATCTCTCCTTGTATGTCACTCTGCGCTGAGTGTTTTAATAATGGAGACCACACGGGCCATGATTTCAACATGTTCAGGAGCCAGGCTGGTGGGGCCTGTGACTGTGGAGACAGTAATGTCATGCGAGACAGTGGGTAAGGCTTAGCTGCTCATGCTAATAGTTAGCAAGAATCGTTTTGACAGGTGTTGCTGTGAAGTGAGCCAGCTGATAACATTTTCCTATCAAGGTTTCCCTTGTCAGGGTTTTGTCGGAGAGATAAAACACTGCCAGTCTGAAAGGACACGAAGCCCCAAGGATTAGGCTGTTAACTTTTACTTCCTAAACATGACTAATGTTATTTAGCATCAGCTAGTTTCCTTTTCTCTATCAACGAGTTTCTACTAGATATCGCCTAAACAGATAACACAGATACACTGGAGTATTTCCCCTGTCAAAGTAGGAAATGCTTTCAGACTAAAGTTGCATTCTGATGTTACTTGTCAATGTAATGATTCAGTAAACTGTGATTGTCTCTGATTATTCCTAATTAGGCCTACTGTATTTTTTTTATCCTACTAAATATTAAATCATAATGTAATATTAAGAAATGGCTGTATCATAGAAATGTTATTAGAAAAACCAGACAGTAAATTCATTGAATAAAAAGTACACACTATATATAATGGGGAATCTAAGATTATGTAATAAAAAAATACCGTAATGCATGTAGAAACTGGACTATTTCTTAATTTCCTGTGATAACCTTTAGTGAAAATACCATGGGATCATGGTATCATGACAACAGCACAACTAAACTTTGGAATATTTAGGTTAATGCAAAACAAAAATGGGTGAGAAAAGAATAAAAAACGATTTTGTTCTTTTTGTGTTTATTGCGTTCATTAAAATGGAATGCACACCCTCTAAGGGTATGTGTTCTATAACCTTGTCGTTAATGTATTAATAAATAATAAAGCTTGTGTATTGTAAGATAATATTTGAGACTGGTCTAAAAAAAAAAAAAGAGGTTAGTCATGCTTGCAGCCTCTAAAGAAAGAGAATCCAATCTAGGGATATTTTTTACTTTAATTTTGCCCCCTTCATCTTTAGATCATGCATTAACCTGCACAATATGGAAAAACTGCTCATGGCAATTTTGATTCGAGAAATCGTTGGTTGGATGCAATTCATCCTTTTTTTCCCCCATTTTTTTTAAGAACCAAATGTTTTTAGCTGTCTTTTAACCACCTTAGTTGTGGTGCATAGCAACAGGTGGAGGAGGGGCATTCTGCACTAATATCTGCTTTGGCCATATATTAAGCTCTGATCTCTCTTGCACTTTTTTGTAATCTCAATAAAGGAATTAAAATGTAGGAAAAGGATGTTTACGTGCCTTTGAAACTGTAACGTAGTAAAAATGTCGGCATGCTTAGTAACTGTCCCATCCTGCAAGGACTACTGTTGCAGCTCTGAGGTTACATCTGCTGCTGATCCTCAGTGGGGAATTTATATTAATATCAGCTTAGAGCAGGTCTTTCCACCTGCTTATCAGACATCACAGTGTTCATTTTAGTGTGTATGATTGTGTATTTACCTTGAAGGGAGTTTCCTGGTTTGTGAATTGCTGACGTCATTACATTCTTGAGCATAAAATTAGTTTTGTTATTATTCACATTCCACAGCGCAGGATATGCGAAACAGAAACCTTCATCTTTTATTTGAATAGAAAACAAACTTAAGGGAAAATGGAGGATTTTCACGAATTTTTGAAAAGACCTAACCTCTCCACTTAAAAAAAAAAATACATTCAGATGCACAACCCTTTACCCGCTCCCGAGAGGGAACACCTATTAAACATGTGCAAGAGCATACACAAGCCCATTTCTCCTTGTTCACGCTCTGTTTAAAAGTTACTGTTTGCATCGCTCATACAAGCTTTCTTTCCAAAAGAAGATTTGCAATTTTTTCACGTAAACGTAAACATATCACCAGAATGATTGACAATTAGTGGAGGACCACTTATGTTGCTGAATAACCTGGAAAAAGAACATCCTTCAATATACCTTTAAGAAAAATTGTGATTATTGCACCAATTGCTACATTTTGTTGTATTTTGTTTAGGATTCCCCTATAGAAGCTGGTTATCAGAATCATCCAAATTCCTTTGGTTTGCTCTCTTAGTCAAAGTACCTGTAGTAGGTCTGTCTCTTTTAAACATCGTTGGCCTTTAGGATGATAAAAAATTTAGAATTTTCAGGTTGGACCTCAAAGAAAACCAGATGGATGTTTTGGCAGGGGAAAAAATAAGTTGGGACAACTTTTGTTCCTTCCACCTGCAGTAACTTGTTTGACTTTTCTCATCTGTTTTTTTTGTCTGGTTTTCAACCAAAATCCTAGATGTAAACTTAAAATATCTTGTGTAGTGTAAAACTGTGCATGTATTCAGTCTTTGCATCTACCCTTGCTTTTATGATTTTTATTTGATCTTTTTTTGAGTAATGAATTCAAATATTCAAATTAAAATCCAGATATTTAAGCAATATTATCCAATATGAGCTGCTTTATAGTGTAAGAGTTTGTTTAAAAAGTTATAGTTTGGTAAATGGGGATTTCATTAGTTGGCTCAGTTTACAGTAAACAAAATAGAGCTTTAAAACGACCAATAAATGTAACCTAAATGGTTAAATAAATTATGGAAAGGTTAAGAGAGGTACAGCTATTATCACAATTAATTCATTTTGGATTTATATTCTTTAATGTAAGTTAAACATATACAGTATGCATTCTCTGTTTTTGCACTGGATCTAAAAGTAAAAAAAAATATAAATATACTGAAGTTAATGAATGCAAGTCTGAATGGATAAATATTAAAGTTTCAGCCACATTAGTTGGTTTCCATTAATCGCAGTGGGGACTAATTGTGTTTATTTCATTAAGCATTTTTGCACAAATTGATCAATAAACGGTGTCTTAAACATGTTTGGTATATAACTGTAAATGCATATTTGCTGCCTGTTAGCATAACTGCTCATAATATGAATAGAACTGACTTTAAGTCATTAGCAGTCTGAGATGAGAGACAAACTTGAAGGAATGCGTGGATAACGCTTCTTTACTGTTTTTTTTTTATTCATGAATTAATTCTTTGTATCTTTTTTTGTTGCTGACAGGTTTTGTCGCCGGCATAGATTAAGAACCGGGGAAAATGTTCCCTCGATCCCCCGAGATCTTCTCCTCATGTCTGAGATGGTCTTGCCTCGCTTTATCCTGTGCATCATACAGTATCTGAGAGATGGATACATTGAACCAGGTGAAACTTTATAAATTATGTTCTCTGGCACCGTGGAATTGCTTGCTTCCTAAAATGTGTCCCCGAAGTTGTCGGTTCGCATGACGTCTGCTGTTTATCTCTGCTTGGCAGACACATCAGCTGAGCGAGATCTGCAGAAAGTTCTGCAACAGCTGGAGCCCCAGATCACTTTTTTGGAGGAGCTCACAAAGATGGGAGGAGCAATGAGGACTGTACTGACAAAAATCTTGACCAACCAGCAAACTTACAAGGAGCTTAGCATGGGTATCTATCCTGGCTTTCAACAAAGTTGATCATTAGATGTGAAAGTTATGCACCTTCATCTTATTTTACGTAATTTTTTTGGTTGAGAATATTCCTTCATTTGCATTAATATGATTGTCATCATTCTAACAGTTGATGTTAGATTATAAAGCTCAATGACTAAAGTTCAGCTACTCAAGTACAAGATAACTTTGCTGCTTTTTAGTAAAAAAGCAGTTGTGATAGTTTGTTTTCATGTGCTGTTTCAGGCCAAGAAGAGAATTTGTATGCAAAGAAGAACTATGACAAATATTTGTCAGCATTGAAGAATTCAGGTTTGGTTTCTGTGGAGGAGAAAATCCAAGGAGCCGCTGCTGATGTTGCTGAAGGAGGTGCCGGAGCGATGGTTCTGCTGGGTATGATTGCATTTATATGTTTTCTAACCATCTAGGAATCTTGTTGCATTTATGTGATATGTATCTAAGGGAGGAAGGAGAACTGGGGGGACGGGGCAGCTGGGGAATTACCCAGTGCCGCTGGCATCAGTGCTCAGATGGTGAAATGACGCTGAAATGCTGCTGCCTTCATTTTGTTCTGTTAAAGTTGCCTGACTGATACTTAGATTTTTATTATTAGGAAATTAAACCAGAGACAAAAGTTGTTTATTTGCACATCACTCAGTAAGCTAATCTTTCATTTCTGAATGACAAAAATATTTGAATCCTGTGAGGCCTGGAGATTATGCACATAAAACCTTATTTAATTGAACATTACCTTTGTTCAGTTGATGCTTCTTCTGTCAAATGATTTATTTCAAAGTTATTACGAATGTTAATTCAGTCATTCATAGATTTAGGTGCCAGACATTTTTTTTTATAATTCAGGCTTAGTTCTGAGGGCCTCATCATACATATTTATTTAAAAATTGTATATAACTTAAACTGGAGAAATTACTACCAAAGAAGATTGTATCTCTCCATTCTTGTTTATTTGTACACATTTGTAGCATACCTAACATTTATACATATTGATTTAATAGGGAGGGCAGGGCAGGCAGTGCCTGCAAGCATTACAATGTGTGTGGCTACATGTGTGGGCGTGGTTCCATACATCTAAACTTTTAACTTTTTAGTACCACCAACTTAAATTATGAAAGCTCTACATGATTTTGTGGCCTCTGGAACAGTTTTTGGATGTAACTGAACTATTAAAGGCCCTAATGCTGGGCAGCTAATACCCAGTTGTATGATTTTATTGTGTATAATTAATTAGGTTCGGCTTTAAGGTCGGGGACTTCATTAGTTAGCCAAAACTTATCACCAGTGAGATTATTGCTGTATTGGCTACTATGTAAAGTATGTTAAAGTTAAGTAACTTTGTGTTAAAAGCAATTGATGTCAGTGTTTTTATTATCATTTATAACCAGCTTTTCGTTCCATCTGTTCTTATCCTCTGCCTCTGCTGCCTCTCTTACTGCTATTATCCATTCTCACCTGAACTGTTCTCCTGCCTTGTGAAAAAGGACCTAATGTCCATGGTTGGTAAATAACTTAAAATATGTACATGTTTTTATATTAAGCAAGACTGAAATTAATTAATTATAATAGATTTAACACTAGAATACACCGCCAGATGGGATCATTTTAATCCCATCACTTATAATTACAAACTTAAAAAAACAAACAAACAAAAAAAAAAAGAGGCTGGATCCATTTTAGGAAAATTTGGGGAAGTGAGAGAAAAACTGGGGTTTTATTGTAACAGGGATGCAAGCATTTGACAACCAAAGGGGATAAAATTTCCACCTTTGGGGTTTCATTGTGAAAGATATTTGTTGGGCTTCACCGCACTCTTCAAAAACCAACGCTGATCTAGTCGATTCCGGAACAAAACTCAGTGGTGCCATAGTATCACGTTCTATCACTAAACACGTTCAATCGTTGTGTTGAAATCCACACCTGTGCTGCCTGCATAATGACAAAGCATGGGTGCTAGCAGCGACCAGAGTTAACAAGAATTATGAATAAAGTAAAAAAAAATGCATGGGGCCATGAGAGGGTTGTTTACACTTTGGGGTTGACCACTACTAATCAGATAAACCTTAGATTTATTTACAGTCTGATTTTTTACCTACACCTTCCATCATCGCATCGACTTCCTTACCTGTCAGAATAAGCAATGCGGGGGGCCCAGCTGAGGGACTAAATCCTTATAACAAACGCAGGCGCATATGCAGGCCTGACACCCAGAAACCATTGTAGAGGATAGTTACGGCGTGTGAGGTAAACGCCCCTTAGTGCTGTGGCTTGCACATATTATAACAGATGATGATGCATGGACATAGAGTCACTTTCACATGAATTTAATAATAGTGCCTTTAAAGGCAATTGTATTAAAGGTATAGTGGATGATTTTTGAGAAGACCCACCCTCTCCACTTAAAAAAACAAAACGCACATGCACAGCCCTGTACCCGCTCACGAGAGGGAATGCCCATTAAACGTGTTCGAGAGCGTGCACAAGCCCATTTCTTTGTGCAAGCTCTGTTTAAAATTTGCTGTTTGCTTCGCTCATACAAGCTTACTTTCCAAAAGAAGATTTGCAATTTTTCCACAATGTCAGACTCACAACCGGGAAGTGAAAATGTGGACTAGCACATTGGACAGCCTTACATAAACATCACCATAATGATTGACAATTAGGAGGACCACTTATTTTGATGATCCACCCTAGGGCTGCAACTAACGATTATTTTGAGAATTGATTAATCCGTAGATTATTTTGTTGATTAATAACCGGATAGCAAAAGGTTCCATAAAGACGACTTTTTGCAAAATTAAACCAGGTGAAACTCAAACTTTTCCACAGCTTTTTTTTTTTTATTTTTTTTTTAAATCGATTATTAAATTAGTTCGCGATTATTTAAATAATCGCTTTATCACGATTAATCCGATTAATTGTTTTAGCCCTAATCCACCCGGAAAAAGAACGTCCTCACCTATACCTTTAATAAAAGAAAACTGATGTTGCATTTCAGAAAACTTTTTAAAAGAGGCGCCCAGAGCGGGATTTCTGATCGGATGTCTAAATAACCAGAACTGACTCCTTTTAATGAGGAGGAACAGTGGCCTTTCTTCAAACGCCATCCTGATGACTCAGATCCTCACCAGGACTCTCAGGCCGAGCCACTCTAGTTCCTTCTAGCTGCTCATAACTATGATTCAAGCACTTTCCAAAGTTTTCCTTTTCAAATTTTCTTAACCCTATTTTTTCTTGTGAAGTTTCTTTCTCTTTTTGTAGCTGAACATTTATGCTTTGTTTTCGAAGGAACCACTGGACCAGGCAGCCCAGATGAGTCTGCTAAGGAGGTATGTGTCAGAATAAAGTGTAATCATTCTCTATTTTATTGTTCTCAGGATCAAGCTCCTAATTTGTGATAAATTGAATTTAGACCCATGAAGGATTTTTGTCTACTTTGGGTCTGTTATTGAGTATAATAAATGCCTAATTCTCCTCTGAGAAATACTGCTAATTCTCCACATGATCATGTTGATATTTAGAGCCTAACTAATGCAGCTTAACTTTTAATCAGTAAATTTAAATTGTCTCTGTTAAATTGTTTACTTTTTAGGATGATCAAGATGGAGGACAGTTTGTTGGCCAGAGGAAGAGGGTTAAACTTAGCAGCAGTACCAAAGGTAGATATCTGGGTGTTAAAAAGGTACTAAGTACTAAACAGGAGCTAAAATTATATATTGTTTGTTTTTGTTTTTTTTACCCTTAGACCCATACATCATTGATTCACTAAAGCACAAATGCTTTCTGGAAGAGTTGCTTTTTTGGACAATAAAATTTGAGTTTCCACAGAAAATGGTGACCTTCTTATTAAACATGTTGCCAGATCAGGATTATAAGGTATGCACTCTCCCAATTTCACCTATTTGCTGAATTTGAGGATTTCTTTAAGTGTCTTTGCATCAGTTTGCTAAAAGGGCACAGTGAGAGCAGTGGGCTGTGATCGTGTTTTTTGTCTCCTCACCAGATCACATTCACAAAGACATTCGTTCAGCATTACGCCTTCATCATGAAAACCCTGATGAAAAGCCATGAATCGGACACCATGTCTAACCGCATCGTGCACATCAGCGTGCAGCTGTTCAGCAACGAGGAGCTGGCCCGACACATGACAGAGGAGTGCCAGCTGCTGGACATCATGGTCACTGTGCTCCTCTACATGATGGAAAGTTGCCTTATTAAAAGTGAACTTCAGGGTAAGTTGACTGAGGTTCCCTGACAGTTTTATTGTTTTCATTTATTATTTTCCCTGCTGGTGCAGTGATTTTTAAACCACTAATAATCTGTGATGCATTTCCTCTAAGTTCAAGTCCTTTTAATGGTTTCCGTGAGATTTTGTCTCTCTCTCTAGGTCTTGATCCTATTTCAGATGTTTATATTTGTAACATTACTTCACAGAGGTTATATGCAGCTTAAATTGATTTGATTGAACTTTGATCTGGTTTCTTTGTCTGATTTAAATAATAACTTTATTTCACTGACAGGAGCCATTTAATGCTTTTAATCCATTTAGTGCTTCTATTTTTATTTTTGTTTCCCTTGTTAGATGAAGAGAACAATCGCCACGTCGTGGTAAACTGCAGTGAAGCACTATTAAAAAACAACACTTACTGGCCCCTCGTTAGTGACTTTATTAACATCCTCTCACACCAAAGTGTAGCGAAAAAGTTCCTGGAAGACCATTCCTTGTTGGTGCTCTGGATGAGCTTTGTGTCATTTTTTCAAGGTATGCTATTTCTTTCTTTCTTTCTATTTTTTTATTTCCTTTACATCTCTCATCTATCTTTGAAACCGGTCAATATGTAACTGATCAGCTGTGGAAATGCATCCGTCATAATGATAAAGCCATTTTACTATAAAAGGCAGGTCTTTTTGCTTTTTCATTCAAACATTGAATGATTAACCTCACACTTTATTTAACGTTAGATTTTCCTGAATTTGAGTCTGAATTTTAGATACTTTTTTATTATTATGGTTTCTAGCAATAAATGCCTGTTACAAACTATTATTTGTAAGGGGAATTTTGGTCAGTGCTGCTCACTTGCCATATGTAGTCCTGTAAGACCCTAAAAATAACATCCCCACTGTGCTAAGGACGTGTCCTCTTGCTGACAGCTTGAACACACTGTCACCCCATGCTCTACTATTAGTATGAACATGTTTTTATAATGATTTGCATCATATTTTGGCTAAACAAATCAACGTCTTACATTTCCCTTTATTTGAGCTTAGATTTTTACTGTTTTTTTATTTTTATTTTTTTAAGGTATGAACCTGAATAAGAGGGAACTAAACGAGCATGTAGAGTTTGAGTCTCAAACATACTATGCAGCCTTTGCAGCAGAGCTGGAGGCCTGTGCACAACCAATGTGGGGTCTCTTGACACACTGCAAAGTCAAGGTAAGTCCTCTCCTTGCCATGGATCTCATCTTTATCACACCTGTTTTACAATATGCAGGGGTGGATGGAGCTTATAAACGTAATGGTTTGACAATGCCTTAAAAAAGGTGTTTGTTTTATTAGGATGTTATGTTACTTTCAAGAAAAATAGTGAGCAGTCCAATCTTGAGAGTCCAAACAATATGTTGGAAGCATGAATTGTTGGTTTGTCCAGAAACATCTAATCAGCCGTCACAGTATGATGAGTCTTTCTGCAACATGGTTCACAACATGGTTTTGCTTTAGTTAAATTCTGTTGTCGGCACAATCATAGAGGAAAGGCTATCAAGTATTCAGGCATTTGTGTCAAAAAATAAAAAAACAGTTGGACCAGTTGAGCAGAAAGGAAACATCTGTATGGCGTAGAAGAAGTTGTAGTCCAAGCAATGAAAGCGAAATTCACCCAACATTCATTATCGAAAGAGATTCAATTCTACTACAAATAATAAAAGTTATCTTTATGATATGTGTCAAAAAAGGGAAGACTTTTATAGACTTATATAAGTGACCCACAAGGCAGCAGCAAATTATTGTGAAGTGGAAATAAGGGCTACATCATTTTTCTATTTAAGAAATGATCTAAAATGGAAAACATTTGCTCTCAGCCCTCTGAAAATGCACATTAAAACTGTAGAGAAAGGCTGTCCAAACTGTCTTTAAAGGTCCATATAGGTTTGGGAAGTTTCCAGTCACCTTTGAGCAGATTTCCTTTTGTAGAGAAAAATGTCCTCGGCATGATGCTGCCATTACCATGCATGATAATAGAGATTTGTGTTCTAGCTCATGGGCACACTTATTTTTCATATTCAGTCATGTTCACTAAAACTTGCTACACCTTTAAATAAAATTTTAATATTCTGACTTCAAATGACACTCCAGAGGATTCTATTAGCAGATATTTTTTTTTTCTTAGGACAGGTGGTTTCTTAATATTTGATTACATGGTTTTAGAGTACATTTTTATCAATTAATACAGGACTTTTAGGGTTTTGCAGTTGTAAGATATTTAAAAACAATATGATTTCCTTCAGCTTCACCATCAGATGCAACATCTCAACATTTTAATATGTTTTGTTTTGTTGAAACAGGAAACGCAGGAATATACAAAAACTGTGGTGCGATACTGCTTGGAGACTCTGCAGATCTGGTTTGATGCCATTGGCTTCATTGATGAGGTGAATTTAAATCATATTTTTAAGCATGTAAAGACATCCTTTTTCTGTCTTGCATTTCACTATTTTTTTGTTTTGATTTGATTCTTTCGCAGCCTGCTCCAAATCAAGTGACGTTTCACCTGCCACTCCACCGCTACTATGCCATGTTCCTTAGCAGGGTATGTCAGAGCTTTTTCTTTTCTCCTTCTAACAGGAAGTATATATTAAAATGTTGTGCTTCAGTGTTCATTTTTGGTTGCTAACCCCCAGGCTGTTAAATGCCAAGGATTGGATCTGGATAGCCTCCTCCCTGATCAGGAGATGCTGATGAAGATCATGGTGCACCCGCTCCAAATTCAGGTATGATACTACAAGACCAAGAGTTGCTTTTTTTTTTTTTTTATTCCTATATCCAATGTTTATAAGAAGTCATGTGATGCTAAGAAGACACTTTCTGTTTTTGAAGGCATGCCTATCGGAGATACACAGTAATATGTGGGTCAGGAATGGTCTGCAGATTAAAGGACAAGCTATGACTTATGTGCAATCACACTTCTGCAACTCCATGATAGACCCGGACATCTTTCTCCTGCAGGTTAGAATTGAAGTCACACAAAACGTGTCAACTATTACCATTATTATTTTTTGTTTCTTGTGTGCTTTATATATATTTTGTCTTTTAACATTGTAGGTTTGTGCATCAAGGCTGGATCCAGATTACTTCATTTCAAGCGTTTTTGAGAGGTAAATACATTTGTCGTTTCATTTTTCCATGGTACAAACATCATTTCCTTAGTTTTTTATTTTTTAAAGGTTGAATTACCTTTTCTTCTCTGATGCAGATTTAAAGTGGTTGACCTGCTGACGATGGCGTCTCAGCACCAGAATGCCGTGTTGGATTCTGAGCAGGAGAGGCCAATGCTTGAAGGAGCGTTAACGTTTCTTGTCATTCTGACAAGCCTTCGCATTCACCTGGGTAAGCAGTAAAAAAGATCTAGAAGGCCATAAAAGTTAGACAGAACCAAAAGTCTGTAAGAACTCAACTGAAGCTGCACCTAAAGCAAAAACTAGATCAGCAAAGCAGTCGACTACTAGGAGACAAAATTTGAAGTGTAGTGGGATTATTTTTCACTGTAATCTTAAAACTTTTAATGAACTGGTAGGCAAATAAACATTCCAAGTTCCATCAGTGTTCAAAAGGCTTTAGATTGAGTTTGAAGTCGTCGTAAATTTAAACCAGATTAATTAACTTTGAGCTAATCTCATTTAAACTGTTGCTCTGGAGATTAGCTCCTGCTTTTAAATCAGGGATATTTGTTTTTGTTCGATAATATCAGTGTCTTTTAATTTGTTTTAGAAGTTAGCAAGTCCTGAAAAAGTTATATTACCCTGCTTTTTGTAATGAATTATTAATCTTGCTCATGTGACCAACAGGAATGACCGACGATGAGATCCTTCGATCTGAGATGGTCTCCCAGTTGTGCATGAATGACCGGACCCACAGTGCACTGTTAGACCTTGTATCCTTGAGTAGTTTATGTATGCTTAATATGCATTTCATTTTTCATAAGTTTCTTTTCTTTTTCCTTAAGAATGTTATTCTAGATTCCTGAAAATCCCAACCCAAAGAGTGGCATTGTTCCGGGTAGCTGTAGTTTTGAAGATGTGCTCTCAGCTGTATCTGATTTCAAAGCACCCGTGTTCGAACCTGGAGGCTCGATGCAGCAGGGCATGTACACACCTAAAGGTAAGGGGATTGAGATGAAGAAAGTGTGTGAGTAGGAAAGTACCTGTGGTATTGTGACATTTATAGATGCCACTTAAAATTCTGGCACAACTTCAACAAAATGTGTGGTCAGCACAAAGAAAAATTAATATGTCGGACTGTTTGGGTGTTTTTTTTTTTCATTGAGTCTTTATCAATGATATGATAACAGATAAAATAAATATAGAAACTTGGTTTTGGTTTGTTACTTTATTTACAGAGAATAGATGATATCTAAATGTAAAGTGTGATTAAATTCTCCAGATCTTAAGACCAAGGAAAGTTCCAGACGTTTATTACCTTTTCCCCTGCTAAATCAGGACATGATGAAATGAATGTAGCTTGAAAATACAAAACAAAGAAACTGCAACATGAGAAATAAAAAAAACAAAAAACAGAGGAGCTGATAGGATATAGCATTTAATCTTAAAAGCATTATCAGCTGATCAAAACTTTAAGACCTCAGCTACTTCCAGACCCCCCAAAGGGTTTTCTCTCTCTTTATAAAAGGAGCCAGAAGTTAGAAGGCCCTCAACCCTGATCACTTCCTGAATCATTTTGGCTTTGCTTGATGCGTGTGTCCAGTAGGCTGGTTGGAATGCTTCTCCTTGAAGTGAAAATGGATATATGCAGAGCATGGATGGTACGGAAATCAGTCTTGTAGAGCTCTGTCACTTATCATCCGGTTCTCTTGACTGAAACCTCTAGAATAAGGTTTCAGTCAAGAGAATGTGTTGAATGGTCCAAAAAAAAATAAAACGCATCCTCCTGTCAGACAATTATCAGACAAAAAGTTGCTTCATCATCTTCACATCTTCACCCTCTGCAACTCAGCTGCCTAAAAAAGCTATTGGGATCTTCTTGTCACTCCAATAATGTTGGAAGCTACCAGAACCAATCATTGAATTGGTTCTAAACCTTGCTTTTGCCAAGTCTTTTCCTGGTTTTAGGGCTGCAGTCAGCATCAGTAAGAGATTCTAAATGTACCTTTATTGACGGCAAGCGATTTTTAGGGTGATCTACCACTTAAATGTAATACGTTTTCAGCTCTGAAGAAATTTTAAAATACTCTTGCAGAGTCCCACTCTAACTTGGAATGCAGCAACATCAGGGGGTCATTTAAAATGAAAGGCTGCCAGGAAAGGGCATAAAAACCCAGATATTTGCACAGATTTAGGTATTTTAGTACCATAGCTGTAAGCTTTTGATCAGGTGATGAACAGCCTGCCTCAGTCCTTTTTTTTCCTAAAAGAAAAGAAAAAGTTTTTCAGTTTTTGATTCTCAGTTTTACTTTTTGTATTTTGTAACTCAGCTTGCATCCTGCAAAAAAAAAAAAAAAACAACCTTTTACCTGGTTTTAATATTTTGCTCAGGAGAAATTAAATGAAAACTAGTAAGAATTTTTTTTTTACCGACTTCCAGATGCTGCTCTTGATGTAGTCTCAATACATTATTAAGGATAAATGTTTAGCAGCACAAAATCTAATCACATAACCCAAGGAAAACAAGGGGTGGCTATTTGCAACTGACTTGAAATGTGCTTTGGAGAATGGACCTCCATAATGCTTGAATACATCAGCATTCCAACCACAGATTGCTCTGGCATGAGGAGGTGAAACATCTCCAAAAAACCAAGTGGTTACCATGACCCGGATGACTGAGAATTTACACAGGCATGTTAATTAGATGCCGTTATTAAGTAACACTAATTGTAATAGATTGGGATTTTCTTTTAGCATGGAACAGTGGTTTAATGTCTGCTATTTCTAAAAGCACTTTAGTATGTTGAATGCAAAATAATCTTCTCTTAAAAGCAAAAAAATAGCACCAAGAACTGTCCATCCAATCACTATTAGAAAACGGTATGAATATTCAACCAAAATGTGAGACTGGTTCTGTTCTCTAGGAGTTCACCACTTGGGGGCAGATTTTTACCACTTATAAAGGAATGATGACAACTGGGAGAATGTGATTCATTGACATTTCATTGCAATCTTTTCTCACTCATTTTTTTCCCCCGTCAAACCAGCCGATGTGTGGGAGAAGGAGTTTGACCCCATCATGGTCGTCCTCAGAACAGTTTATCGCCGTGATGTTCAGTCAGCAATGGACAGATACTCAGCATTGTAAGTCATCAACATTTCCACTATTTTAACCTCATAATTTGTTTGTGGTAGGGGAGTGGGGGCCTAGTGGTTAGGGCATAGAGCTTGGAATCCTGAGGTTCTGAGTTTGAACCCCTCTCTCGCAGACTGCCACTCTAGGTCTCTGAGCAAGACCCCTAAATCCCTGATTGCTCCCTGGGCCCCCCACAATGGCAGCCCACTGCTCCCCAATGGTTAAATGCAGAGGTTAATTTCTCCAAAGTTAGACCAATAAAGTTCAATTATCATTATTATTATTATTGCCCCATTAGACTGAGAGTAGGTTCACCCTCTGAGGGCTACACAATGAAAAGGGAATGATGAGAAAGGTCAGGTTTGGTGACCGCTGCTTCTGCTGGACTTGGTTCCAATTAAATAAATAAACCCAAGAACAATCCTTCATTCTCTCTGAATGGTAATAGAACTTTAAAAATCCATCTTGTTGACTTTGGATCACATTTTCTCAAATGGAAACTTGTTTTAGGTAGAAAAGTCGACCTACAGATTATGTTAAAAGCTTGCATAGAAGCTAATGTTTCACAGGATTTTAAAGAGATGAATACAGTTTTTGAAAATGTTCAGGTCAGTTTTATGCCTGATCTCTGCGATGAAATCAGGTGTTGAAATAACACTCAATATTGCTATTGCTGCTTTTACCAATATTAGGGCTAATGCAAAATTTCATATTTAATATTGTGCTTAAAACAGAATTTTTCAATTGCAATTTAGAAAAAAAGGCATTTATTTGTACATTTATGAGTCTTAGCTCTTTAAAAGGATCAATATTAAACTAATCCAAAGGGTAATGGTGCAAAATATAAATTTAAAATCAAATTTCTGATATTTCTTTCATTCCAAATCTGATTAATAACTGTTTAAACAAATAACAACAGATCACAACTCATAGCAATAGTCGTAAAAACTTGCTCTTATTTCAATCTTCCTTCTTGAAGTTGACCTAAATTTAGAGTTCAACTAATTCCATGCTAGGAAACAAGCTTGGAAAAAATATAACTAACAAAATGTTTGCAAAATACTTTACTCATGAGAGGAGTTCAGGAGGACAAAAAAAATGTGATCTTCTTTGAATCATAGAAAACAGTTTTTTTTCTCTCTTTGAGAGAAAAAAAAATCAAAAGGACAGAAAATGTATATATTAAAATAGTGGTCCTCTTTGACCCTCACAAAAAAACAAAACAACAAGGGACAGACAGAGTTAAGTCAAACATACAAGACAGGTCAAATGTGGGAAATTATTTCAATTTCTGTGGCGCCTAAAGTTATTAATACATCTAATATATTTAGCTTTAAAGTAACCAAACTTAACCACTTGTTTCTACTGACTGGAATGTTAACACATGGGAGAGACCTGGTCAGACTGGTGACTTGTTACTAATAGGGAATAACAGGGAGCTAAAGATTAAGGTGATGGTATAGAGGCTTCCCAGCCTTGAAGACTTCAAGCTATTGACCTAAAATAAATCATGAAAAAACTGTTGGAAACATGCTGGACAGAGTTCATATGGTATTTTGCCTTCTGAAGAATAACCTGCCATTAGCTGGGTATTTAGAGTGGAAATCTGCTGAGTCAGGTAGCCTGCACTCTGCTTCACAGACATTCTCATCACAGCTCAGTGTAATTTCAAAAGTTTGCGATTTAAAAAAAAAGTGATACTTTTGCTTCCTTAGTTTCCACGTTTTAAATGTCGCAAAAAATTTCTCCATCTTGTCTTCCCAGAAATATGTGATGTTGAGTGTATTTCGGCTAAATAATGACTAAAATGCAAATGAGATAAGAGATGTATTTTTAATTGAAGCACAACCCTATACAGCTGTATGTTTTTATAGGTTTGTTATATAATAGAGCTACAGCTTAAAAAATTTTCAAGCAGGTGGATAAAAACTATTGGGATTTATATTCTTATCCCACAGTCTTATCTATGGCATCACATACATGGTATTTGTCCTATCAGACCATTTCTTCCTGTTTTTAATTGAAGTTATTATTACCGTAGATGTTTTCTGTACTCATTAGAAATGAAATGTATTTTTTATGTATTTGGGGTTTTGGTAAAAAAACAAAAACAAAAAAAAAAACACTGAGATGAATTTCTCTCTCCAACACTGAAACTGCCACGTCCACCCCCTGAATGTGATAGCTGCCTCCTGTTTCTCATTTGCTTGACTGTGATGAATTGCACGTCAGACGGACCTGATTCTTGTTATAATAATGCCTTCATTACTAGAAGAGCACCGTCTGGCAGCTGCTCTCTTCTGTAAGCTGAAATCATTTCATTTTTTGTAATCTTCCCGCTTTTTTTATTATTTGTGATTACATTATCCAGTCTGAAACAGTATGGCATCCATACTGGCAACCCTTGGCCACCATACAAAGAGCGGACTCCTCTGCATCCTTCTTACAAAGGATTAATTCGACTGTTGCATTGTAAGACCCTGCACATTGTGATATTCACTCTACTTTACAAGGTGAGCAATATTCATTTTGTATTTGCATCTCAGTTCACACTATCCAATCATTTCACAGTTAGCATGTTTTTGTATTAATTGCTGTTTTTTGTTATAAGGAAAAGCTAAAGTAAGAAGGTTTTCTTGTTGTGGTTTATGTTTTAGATATGGATGGATCACCAGAACATGTCTGAACACGTGCTGTGCATGGTGCTCTACCTGATTGAGCTCGGCTTGGACAACCAGGTTCAAGACTGCAAAGAGGACGAGGTAATGACCAGTTTTATATCTACATCATCCCCAAAACTTTATCCACAATCTCTCTTATTGCTATATTTTTATTGCTCGTCCTATAGTTGCCGTTTTGTCCTTTTTTCCCCCCCTCCAATTCTTATTGCTTTGCTTTCTCTATCTTCTTAATGAAGGAGCCCTGCATCGAGGAGCACTGCCATGATAGCTGGTTCCCAGGCACCAATCTTCTGTCCAATCTTCACCACGTCATCAACTTTGTGAGGGTCCGGGTACCTGAGACGGCACCTGAAGTGAAGAAGGAGACTCCTCCCAGCACGAGTGCAGAGGCTTCATCTTATGGCCAAGTAGGTGACGGGTCTGCTGAACAATGAGACTACATTTACTTTTTTGCAAAGACAGAATTAAAACGTTGGAGCTGTAAAAAGCCTACTTGTTGTTTTTTTTTTCTGGAGAACTTTGTGGAGTATTTGACCATAATGTGGGGACCCAAATCCTGGTTGCATCAGGAGCAGCAAACTTTGCCAAGTCAGCGAGGAAGTTGTAATGACTTGCCATGGTGACCCCAGAATGTATGAGGAGCCGAAAGCAAAAATAAATAGATCAATCAAATAAATTATATATAAAACCACCCTCCCCGAAATAATTACAACGTATTCTACATCGTAATTGCAACGTCAGTGTTTAACAAAATTCAATGTGGCAAAAATAAAGCTTCTTTCCAATAGAACCAGCATCAACTGCCTCTGCTCAGGTTTGCAGTTTATCTTTATCATGTAAAAATACGTAACCCAGATATGTTTTTGAACTCATCTGGTGTGTTGCATCTTTAAAGAACCAAGTATTAGGGCAGATTTAACACCTCTTTGGTATCTTACCAATGAATAGAAAATATTATTCTGTACAGTTCAGAATGTCACTTAGACATCAGGATATTTCCTGGTTAAGCTTATTTTGCTGTGTTCTTACAGAACTCCAGGCGTCTTTCAGGAAATTGGAGAGAGGTAGCTGTCTGTTCCCATTACCATGAAACAGTCTAATTACTGTAATAGCACTAGCACCAGCTGCTGCATTTGTATGTCTCCTCTCTGGTGTGGAAGAGTCTCTTTGCATGCGTTTGGTGGGTTGTGTTTTTCAAAGATCCCTGCCTTGGTGTGTTGAGGCGTGAATATAATGCCGCGCTTCAGCGGTTTCCCTCCCTGTTGACTGCTGAAACTAATTACGTGTGCAATGCAGGTTATGGCGTAAACGATTTTTAACCGCATGTCAGTATGATTGATGGTAGCCTGACTGGGCTTTATGATGTATGTTTATTTAAGAGTGCAGCTCGGGTCCTTTTCTGTCGGCCTGGGTCATGCCAATCTTTCAGAGAGCTTGTGTGTTTTACATCGAGGCAATTTGAATTTTCTCTGGTAATATTGATGTCACGGACGCCGTCAGACGAGGTGTAATGTCAGCTGAAATTTTATGATGGTCATTTGTTTTGGGTTGTATTGGTTGTGTCAGGTTATGGTAATAAGAAGTTTCCCTTATCCATCAAAATCCATGTGAGCAATAATAATGCCATGTTAGGGAAAGATGTTTGTGCTAAAACAAAGGACTATCAAAGTTCAAAGATGTTGGTGAAATATTATACTAACTTTGCGGTGGGAGTCCTACACAACATTTTAACTTTTTCATCAAAAGGGTATTTTGGTGATTTATGCAAGGTCTCCCCTTGTTTGTATACACCACCTCTGCCCGATGACGATGACAATTCTGTATTTTATTACAAACTGTTGCCTAATTTGTATTTTAAATCGAAACCAACAATGATTTTTATCACTTTCTCTAGAACCTTCGAGAAGCTCAGGTGTTCAGCCTGGTGGCGGAGCGCAGGAGAAAGTTCCAGGAAATAATCAACAGAAACAACACCGAAGCCTCTCAGGTCGTCAGGCCCAAGAGCTCCTCTACCCGCTGGGTTTCGCCAGGCACGCCCCCCCAGCTGGTCACAGAGATCCTGGAGATCCGTGAAAGCATGCTGTCCCTCCTCGTCAAGCTGCACCAGAAGATGTCGTCCAAGCAGAACTCTCTGTCGGCTTCCTGGCTGGAGGATCCCGACACGAGCCGTCACGCTCACGGAGATGGCATTACAGCAATCGAACGGATCCTCGCCAAGGCAGCCACACGCAGCTGCCAAATCAAGCGTAGTATTCAGGACATTTGTGGAAAGGTGTGTCCTCCCGTGCCACCAAAGAAGAACAGTCCCTCAGACAAGAAGACGATGGATAAAGAGGAAAGGTAAATATCAAATAAGACAATAGCAATTTCAGATTTATGGGTTAATATTTATATTTCCTTCCTGATTTTAGTATAACTCGTTATCTCTTTGATGTTATGCATTAGAGATGCACCACTTGGTATATACATTAAGTTACTTGACACCTCTGAGCATATTTGATTGAAATCAGATTGATACCATAACATTTGGGAAAGCAGGGAAATATCTATAACCAGGAGGACCAGAGATGAACATCTCACAACATCTAAGAATATGGCACACCTGGATCACAATAATATTTTTAAACTTTCTGTGATGCTTTTTCTTTTAAATTCTAGTTGTTTTCTACATGAGACGTGTCACATAAATACATTTGGTGTCGACTGTGGTCTCTGCCCAAGCTAAGATCGTTAAAAAGCGGAACGCCGTTTTTTTTTTACATTGGGCCCTCGATCTTACGTTATTACATCATGTTCTACTCACCCATATGATTTTTGTGTCATTTGGAGCTGTTCTGAAGATATTCCGTTAGGTTACATCCAAGTAACGTCTTCCAATGGACAACAACTTGAAGGCAAAAACTAAACTGTTCATAATTTATCATTTATGGTACGCCAGCATTCATAACATGTAGGCGAATCGCTGTCACCCAGACATCCGCTGTTATATTTTTTATAAAAAAACACAAAACTAATATGGGTGAGTAGAACATGATGTAATAACGTAAAATCAAGGGGCAAATGTAAAAAAAAAAAAAAAAAAAAAAAGGCGTTCCCCTTTAATGATGGGAACACAGCCAACTTGACAAGCTGATGCAGCTGCAGTGTCTGAATCCACATGCACCAAATGCTTAATACAGAAATTTACAACATGGGCTTTATATTTCTACTTATGCTACCTACCCAAATATTGCCTGTACTCTTTGATGGTAAAAATTTAAGGTTACTTATAGTTCTGTGATATTTGATTACTTTCACCAACATTTACTTTTTTTTAAACAAATTAACATTATATTTGTAGTCGACTTGTCACGTGTCTTGTAAACACTCACCCTTTGATATCAAATTTGCAGCACTGCTTGAGGTTTTTCCTCCTGTATTTTGGTAGCGGCAGTTGGTGCTGAATTCATTTATCGTTCAATTTCTGAGCATCGATGTCATTCAGCATTTTACATTTGATTTTTATATCAGGTGCGATCTTCTCAGATTGGTGGGTAGGAGTAAATTGTGCTGGACACACCCTGGCATATGGCTAGTGGAGTGAGTCCTCTTCCCTCAGTGAGAACTTCCACCGTGAAGAGTGGATTTGTGTCTCTTTGTGGAAGTTGATATAAAGTGTTAACTGATGGATAACACAATCTGACCCTGAGTTTCTGACCGGCTCATCACTGATCAAGGCACGTTACGCGTCTGTTCTTATCATCAACTCTTTATCTTCAGTAGTAAGGCTGTCAAGTCATACATCATATATTGTATGATATATGACTTGACATATATATGTATGTATCATATTGAAGAGCTAACATCAGTGTGTCCTGCATTCGGTTACCATGTACTTGTTTTTGATAAAAAGAAGAAAAAAAAAACTAGGGTTGAAACGATTTTTCAGATTAATTTATTATTGAAAAATTGTCGCCTAATTTAGTAATTGATTAATCATTAACTGGAGTATAGAGACGTAATAGAGAACCCCACTTAGAGGAGTACTAATACCAAACTTGTAAAAGTATATATTAATATTTTGCATTTTATATAAAAACAAAAACCCTTTTTGTCTTTCTCTATGCTGTATCCAGCACTCCTTAAGTGGAAAACATTTCGTTTCACCTGGTCTAGTTCTGTAAAAAATCTTTAGAAGCTTTAGATATCCAATTATTTGAAAAAAATATCAAAACATAAATTGATTTGCAAAATAATCTTTGAGTCAGACAGAAAATGAAGATATGAATTTAGCTTACATAGTTGAACAATGCCTTTATCAGCTTTAAGTCTCATCCCAATGTGTATTGTAAAAAAATTTATTTATTTTTCTGATAAAGGTAAAGAAATGCCCCAGTCTTCATTAAACCATCCCATCTCTAAGGATATAAGATGGTGCTGCAGCAGTTTTCTATATTTCATGCACTTATTACAGCCTATCCAGTGTTATTATACTGCAGTGATTGTTTTAGGATGCATAGTAGATCTCAGTCCTCTGGCTGTTCTTCTCTTTCTCCTTGGAATCAGCCTCTAGTCTGCATGTCCTATAAACGGTTATTAAGATGGGCTTTAACAATCTTGTAACGACCTCCCTTTGGGGCTCATTTCACCCCACAGAGAAAACGACTGGTAGATTTTCTATCTCCAACACATTTTCAAGCCAACCGGCAGACTGCAGCATGGTCACTGGTGCTGAAAACCCATACACCATTATTCAATCTGATTGTTTGCACCCCTTTGGTCTTCATTGGGGATTTATTGAGCTGTGACACCCCTGTCCTGTCGGCATCCTTCTCAGCCTATTATTAAACTTAATTTAGTAACTCTCCTCACCCTTTCCACTGTAGAGGTTTTGGCCTGATTTTTAAGTCAATTATTCACCGTTCCAGGTTTCAATATTTGAAGTAATGCAGAAATTTGGTAATTACTCCATAGATGGCAGTATTTCATACTAGATACAAATATTTATGGCTCATGCTGTGGGTGATCAGTGAAACATCTCCTGCTTGTTAGACATGAAATATTTTAGGTTACCCTTATGAGTTGTAAAGTCATTGGAATGGATTAAGTATTTGATTGTTGTCGATAAACTTCATCTGGTTCTTTTTTTTTCATTTTAAATTGATCCAAGTATTGCATACCTTTTATTCTGTAATTATTCAGGCCCAAATCATTTACTGAATTATGTAACTTTACATTTTAGAGGCTTATGATTTAATAATAAATTTACAGTTGTACAATAGTTGTTCAGTTTCTTTTGGTCTCTCCCTGTTTCAGGCGTCAGAGGGCCCGAGAAAGACAACAGAAACTTTTAGCTGAGTTTGCTTCAAGGCAGAAGAGTTTCATGGAAACGGCCATGGATGTTGGTAAGTTTATCTCCAGTCAAATATTGCTTCAAAAATTTAACAGGAGACCCCTTTATTGGTATGACAATTACAGAATAAATGCCTTTTAAAACTCCTGCCCTTATAGAATTAAGGCGGTGCTCTTGTTAAAGGCACAGAGATGAAGCTTTTTTTGCTGCTGGGATGATGATCATGACCTCTGACCCTTAAAATACTGCCACGAGTCGCTGTTTGGTTTCTTTTTTCTCTCCCTGGAGTTAATATTAATATAAACTAAATTACTTTGCTGTAGCTTTGTTTGGAATTGCACTTTTTTTTTTTTCGACTGCCGGGCCCTATAAGCTGAAGGAGCCAATAGTTTTTACCCTAGGCCCACTGTTAAGGGATTAGTAAATGCGCAAACATAAAAATAAAACAATAATAAATAAGATGAAAACAACATCTTGATAAGTTCAGCAAAAATTTTGTTTCAATGTATATATATCTTATATTTTATATTTGCTTTGGAGCGAGACAGCCAAAATGCTGAAGTATTTCATACACGTGACTGACAACATTTGTGAAAAAGTTAGGGATTTTTATTTTTTTTCCATCAGCTGATTTAAAAAAAACTTTATTTCTTGTTTTCTGTATTGTTGTTGTAAATTTTATTTTTTAATATGTCAAAGTGCTCTGCTTAGTTCTGAGGAATGCAGAGTCGAAGCTGCACCACTCAGCTTTCTGTTTGCTCCAGTCATTCCTCTTTAAATTGGCCCATGTTACACAGACATACATGATTCCAGCACACTTGTTGGAGTAAACTTTTTTTTGTATCTCCAGTGAGATTATTACAAAGTAAAGCACAGATGGAGAAGTTGACCTGGAGCCACATTATAAGAAAAAGCAGTGCTGTAGTTGATCTGTGCTGTTAGCTGCCCCTGGCTAGTGGCTGGGTTTTCCTCACGTTAATCAGTCCTGTTACTCTCTAAATAGGAAATGTTGTCTTCCTGTTGTTTATGCTCATGCATGCACTGTTGCACTGATTCAACTATTTCCATTATCTTCTTTCTATTATGGTATTTCCAAATAATCTGTCCGAAGCTCTCCTGGACCACCTTGGCTGCAGAGAGCCTGTGGGCTGAGGCTTTTAGTTTAGAGAACATATTTCTGCTGCAGACCATGAAGTAAGGTGCCTTTGATTCATTATAGCTCAGACCAACCCCCTTGTCCAAGGTGAGAGTCAGTTGGGTCTTTACACACAGTCTCCAGGGGCTACTTAGCAGAAATTGACGTGAGGAAAAAAGTATTTGTGCAAGTTGCCAGTAAGGGCGAGTAAGATCAAAGCCCTAATAGTGGTCTGGACTCTAAGGGACCACCTTGACACAGTGTGGTTAGGAGCTGAATAATAGCTGCTGTGGTCAGTTGCTCCATTCTTGCAGAACTGTGCTGTAAGGTTTGTCTGCACATTTTCTGCTGAGCTTCAACTTTAGCTGCTATATTTACAGATCAAGGTAGAATTCAGTTAATTTGTAATGCGTTATATCAGGGCTTCATCTCTTTTCATAGTTGGCAGGATGTGTAGCTTGTCTTCATTTCCTCTAAACAATAATACGAAATAAAGAGCTATATAAGATGGTGCTCCTAATATGATGAAAAGATGTTCTAATGTTGTTTATTTCACTTTTTTATGTTCATCTATGTGCATTAAATAAATGCCTCCTAGTGGTGACGTAAAGGGTTTTAGGCCAAACAAGAACAAAACAGATGAAATGTTTAAGTTGGCAAATACTTTTCACATCTCTGTCTTATTGGTCATTAGCTTTTATTTGGTATAACCAGTGTTAGTTAAAATCAATCTAGCATTTAGAGATTTGTATTCATACATTTTTTTTTCTGAAGTTGTACCGGTGTACGTGTTCCTGCCCCTTGATAGATTTTTCATTTGTGTGTTTTTGTTGGGTGCATGGAGACTCAGAGGTGAGTGGTGTGTTTTGCTGGCCTGCGGCTAAAGCTGCAGCTCTGACAACCAGTTCAAACAGTTTTCATTTCCCCAGGAACACATTGACCTCTCCATAGAACTTGTTCCTCCAAAAAGTAATAAATCAATTTCCAACACCTCTTGACATCTCTGCACAGTGATAAAACACCGCCCCCTTTTGAACAGAGCCCTTAACATTTTATACTAACTTTACATCAGTGATTAGTTTTAACACCAAGCCAGGAGTGATTTCCATGCCATTTGTTTGCTGATGGGTTCAAAAAGCTGCAACTACAGTTCAAAGGTTTTGTTTTTGGAGTTTGCAGTTTGTATTAAAATTAGAATCCTGTCTATATGCATTACTTCAGCATGCTATTTGTGCTTCTTTTGTTTAAATGTCAATAAACACTAACTGCATCAATTCATCATGTTTATTTAAAGTGTGAAGGCCAATTTTGACCTAATCAATTTGGTTCTATCATTATGCAACAATGGCAACAAGATTTAATGTCAAATTGTGAACATTCAATGTCTGAATGATGAATGAAAGTCGCTGATTAAAGAATGGTTCAGTAATTTGGATTTGGAGAATAAGTAATCTTTCACCTTCAATCAATAATTATTTAGGCATCTTCATTTAGAGTCTGATTAAATTAGTTTTCTTTATTCTCAAATTTCTTGTTTTTTTTTTTAGCTTTTAAAGTGTATTTTCTTCTACGTTTTATGGAAGCTGCTCCCTAAACCAATTAGCTGCGTGCATCATCCTTGGTAGGAATAGATGGCACATAATGCTTGTGATGCCTTAAAAACAAAATCAGATTTTCTTTTTCCACAATATATTTCGTTTGTATTTTTTTCCTCCCTTTTGTTACATGATTAAAAATAATTCACAAAACACAGAAATTTCTCTCAAAACTAGATTTCCTCCTTTCAGCCGTGAACTTGACTTGAGAGCTAAATCCAAGCTGTACATTTCCATTGTAAACAATGAAAAGATGACATGCTTTATTTGTTCAGCTTGTGGAATTTCACAGTGAGCTGGTTTATCAGCAATGAGTTCACATCTTAGAACAAAAAGTGCCAAACTCATAAGCCTCTGAACTACAGAAGAGTACATTGGTTTAAATAAAAAACAAGATTGTTTGATAAAATGTATTTATCAAACAAGTTGCCCAAACTGGAATTGGTGTTTTACTCCTCTATGGAAGAGTTTCAGTGTAGCCACATTCACTGTGGGGTGGGGGGTAGGGGGTTGGCGGGGTGAAATAATAATAATAATAACTAATTGTCTGGTAACCTAGCCTGATAAACCAGACTAAATGTGAGATTTGATGTGTAATTTAGTCTGGCCGCGATGAATGAGACATCGGAAGATTGTTGATGAGAACAACCTGCTGTTTTTCAAACCATGTCTGTGCCTATTGGCCAACGCTCTGACCAATGAGTGCAACTGACTGTGACATAAGAAGCTGACAGAAAGCTGGTGGGGGAGTGTAAACAAACAGCCTGTCGGGAAAACGGCGAATATATCCCTTTAAAAATTAATGAGCATAGAGCCTCTTCCTGCTCACGTTTCAATGAAAACCCCAAGTCTTATCCTTCTAAAACTGATTTCAACACTGAGTCAAACAAAAACTGTTCAATAGTTGTTGCCATCTTCCTTGTTGTGCTTTCTCCAGTGTCGTGCAGCTTTGTCGTCCTGCCCTCAAAACCCCGCCCGCTTTGCATCCAGAAATTCAAAACACATCTCTGCGTTGTGATTGGCCCGCCAGTGTTAGGGCCTGGGGCATTGATCGAGGCTAGACCACTCGCAGGAAAAAAAGGATTTTGGCCACTGGCGGGTGGGGCTAGTTTACTAGGCTAGATTAAACCTGCATGGAATCCAAATCGGTGCAAATTCAGTTTATATCAATCCAGCTCGTTGCAGTAAAAAATGTCAGATATATTCAGATCCAGTTTTATGCCTTCAAAGCCTTCAAACAGTATGCATGTTTTCTTACCAAGGATTCAGTCTCCCCTCACAGTTTACCAGTTTAATGCTTCCAGCGGATACTATTTTCATCAATAGATGTATTCATATTTCATTATTTTATGTAAAAACTTTATACAACTACATTTTTTCCCCTTCTTTTCATTTTCCCCAGAATCTCCTGAACCTGAAGCAGCTATGGATTTAGGATCAGCTGAAGTGATGGAGTCTGAGGTTCTGTATGACTGCGTAATCTGTGGTCAGAGTGGACCGTCCACGGAGGACCGGCCAACAGGATTAGTGGTTCTACTTCAGGCATCCTCTGGTATTGCATTTGGCCATATCTTGGGCCTAACTTGTTTGTAACAGCTCTGTCTTCTAAGTTTTCTTTTTTTTACCATCTGCTGTACTTTATATTGAAAAAAGGTGGCAACACCATTTAAATCAGCATTTAACAGAGGGATAATTGTGTTGGTGACTTTTTCTTCTTTCCTCTTTTCTCCTCTAGTTCTGGGGCACCGATGCAAAAACAAACAACCTAAGCAGCTCCCAACGAGTGATGAAGAGCACATATATCTTGCAGACACATGCGGTGTAGCTCATGATGTCAGACTCTCACTGATGCAACAGTTCTTCAAAGATGTATGTGACTCACTAAATATACTGCCTCCCCTCATGGCTTAGGTTAGGGTTAGGTAAAAGGGACCATTCACAAGAGCTTTTGATTAATACTGTCTAACAAAAAGGTAAAAGTCATATTTAAAAGCTCTACTCTTATTGACTTTAGGCAGGTTGATTTTTTGTTAAATCTCTGATGTGGTCAAATGTTTATTTCCAATACATCTCCAAATAGTGGATTGCCAGATACAGCAATAAATGTGATTTGACTTACAACCTGTTCTCACACATTATTCAAATTTAATAATATCACATTTCTAAATATCTAAATAAAACAAATATTTATAAGTAGGTTAACCAATGTAGGTTTATTTAAGATAATTTTCTTGATACAGGGCAGCTCAGTTCACCTCTGTGCTAATGAAACTTTGCTGGATAGATACTTGTTGTATGCTCTAACAGAAAGGCTTTCTCTTTGTGAATTCTGCAGAGTTCTTGTTTGCAGTCCGTTTCAATAGGCTGGGATGGAGGCGTCTATGTTCAGACCTGTGGACACACCTTACATATAGATTGCCATAAGTCCTACATGGAGTCTTTGAGGGTAAGAGACGTCTAACCTGAAGAAGATATTGCTTTACTAATTATCAATAGACTTGATAGGGATTAAAGATTAATATTCAAAATCATTATTCAAATGCCTACATGTTGTTTTAATATCTTAGTCTTTCCATTTTATTCTCCTTTTAATTTGTTTGAATTACCATTTAGTGGTATCATTAAAATTTTACGAAATATGAACTGTTTAGTGTTACTATAAAGACTATAAAAAAGAATGGTTCACCTATTTTTTTTCGTTGTTGTTTTTAATATTAAGAGTTTGGATTTTTTGTGGAAATAAAAACAAAACAAATGTCTAATGTTTTTTCTCCAGAATGACCAGGTCCTCCAGGGTTTCTCTGTTGATAAAGGTGAATTCACCTGCCCGCTGTGTCGGCAGTTTGCCAATAGTGTCCTCCCATGCCGTCCAGGGCGTGGCACAGAAACTAGTGGATGGCACACACCCACGAACAAAGCCACACGCGTTTTGGTGAAGGAAGTGGAGGATCTACAGGAGAAACTTGGTCTTTTCCCAGTGAGTTTTGAATGATTACTAATGAACTTAATGTGTATCGGTCGTAATATAGTGACATCGGTCCGATAGATCCAAAAGGGCCGAGACTAATTAGTATTTACTGATGCCATTTGTGTTTATAATTCTTAAGAGGTAGGGGATTGGCCACAAGGTGGCGTATTTGACTGGGCGTATGACAGAGCAGGAATTAGTGTGATTTTTTTATTGATGTTTTTTCTTGTTCTTAAGAGAAAATTCATCTTTACTGTTTGATATGGCATTTAAAAACCCATGGTTATTAATTAAAGTATAAGCTGGGCATTTTTATGAGATTCCATTCTCTAATTCTGTTTTTTTTTTCTATTATGCAAATTCTCCTTTCGGTGATATTCCCTCAAATATATATTTTTTAAATCTTTCATTTCACATTCTACTCTTGATTTGAAAATAACTTTAACTTATTATCCTAGACGGAGTCCAACCTGAGTAAAGAGATGGAGTTAGTTATCAAAGACATCAAGAACACCACCCAGAAAAAATACATGGACTATGGCAAAAACCCTGGTTCCCCAGACAACGATTTCCTCTTCATGTACTCTCTGGCCAGGTAAGAGCAGAGACCTTTGGTTGATCCCTGCGCTAACTGGGTTTGCAGACAATTGTACTTGAAAAATATAATTGATTTGGTTGTTAGATTTGTAAAAGTTAACACTTGCCTAGGTGAATGTGACACGCTAAGGATCTCTTTTCTATCTTTAAGAGATCTTTAGGCCAAGTGACTTTAACATTGCGTGATGGTTAAGAAGGGTGGTGTTTTATGCAACTATTTTAAATTCCTACCAGAGTAATGGAAAAAAAGTTTTTATTTTCATCAACATAGAGAAATTGCTTGAGGAAATGAACCTGTCCATGTATCCTTTGATTTGGTTCAACAGGGTCCATTTAGCTCCAGATAGTTGTTCCATAATCTCACCTAAAAAAAACAAAAACAAACCCCCCCCCAAAAAAACTGTTCATCAGTTCCTCTATCACTTTGCCTTTTTAGCTTCCTACTAGAATAAAACCCCTCAGTGATGCACTAAATTTGACTCTGGTGCTGAGACTCCTTTTTTTGGCTGGTATTTGTCTTTAAAGGTCATCTTCCAGAAACACTACACGTATTCCTATTCTTGCACAACCATGCAAAGCAAGAGCCTCCTATTTTATATATATCTATATTTTAAAAGGATCTTATAATTTGATTATATTGGAAATGTTTGTAGGTGACATGTTCCTTAATTTGGACTGAATCTCTCTTAAAGGTACACTATGCAACCGGTGTTGATTTTCCAGTGAGGCTCCCTCCAGAGGGCGAAAGTAAAAGTGCACTGTCGTAAATATGCTCAGCTGTTCTCCTGGTTTCTCCGTCAAGCCAGGCGCGGTTGTTTTGAGCTTAGCAGCGAATGATTAACGCTGCGTTCACACTGGATGTAGCTGGCGCGACAGAAGCAGCGAGTTTACATGCAAAGGTCCCGCGGCGCGTTTTGAGCTGCAGGCGCAACACGTCTGAGCGGCTGCAGCAGCGCGTCGGTGCATTTAACGCAGGGAGAGAGACACAGCGCTGATGATCACTGCTCTTAAACAGTTTATTGACGCCTAAATTAACTTAAAATGCAGAAATCTGCCGGCAGAATATGCAGTTTGGATTATTTAGATGAAAAACACCTACCAGCTGCCGCTGTGAACCGCTGCTGATGAAGGGATCCATACTGTCGGCGCATCCCTGGTATGTGGGGGTCTGAGCGGCTCCGACAGAAAAAATATTGAAGGCAGGATAATAATCTGAATGAACTGACTGCACTGATTACGTTTTCAGGTGTATTTTCTCACTTAAAAACATATTAAAACTACTTTATTCCCACTGATCACAGCAAATATAGCTGCAAGGCAGAGAAAGGATAGTGAAGCTCCGCCCAAAGCGCCTCAGACACACTTTTGCAGCCAGAGCAGCAAAGCTGCTTCAGCCGCGCGTCAGAACTAACTGGTACAAGCAGCAAAAATGAAGCAGCAGATGCGATTTTGCTGCTTTTGCTGCGTGAACGTAGCATAACTGCACAAAGATTGCCACTGTGCTAGCAACGAGAATGCTTTTAACTGGGGGGTGTAGCAGTTCTCGCCGTAAAGCAAGACTGACTCTCACGAGACTTCTGAGCCTGTGGGTGCGGGTCGGTGCTCCTGCAATTGCAAGTGCAGTATTTCCCCCACAGACCACCAGGGCGGCCGAGAATACCTTTGTTCAACCTGAAATGACTCATTTAGTCATCCATAACGTTATGGAACACATTAATTAACTGAAAAATGTTGCATAGTGTCCCTTTAAGCCCCATTTACACTACCCTTGAAAAACCGATCCAGGCCGAGACCGGTCCGAGCTTGGATCGGTAACCAGGCCAAGCTCAGTTTTGACGACCGTTCACACGTCACACTTATCTCGGTTATCTCGACTCCTCGACTCCTCGGCTCCTAGTGTCGATGTGCTGTATTACTGCTAGGATTGAAGGAGGGACTCAAGCAGCTGGTGGCGGTAATGCACCAAACGCTGTTTGTCAACCGCCGTAAAACCCAAGAAGAAGAAGACGAAGGAGGAGGGAATCAAGCAAATCAAAATGGCGGCGCCCGTCACATTCAGAAAGTTATGCTTGATTATTATTGCTGTACTTCCCTGTTTGCGGTGGGTCAGGCGAAGACGGCAACCTTGCGCGGATGTACTTGAGAAAGTCGGCTTTTGGGAAGCCGACTTTCTGGAATGGAGTGTGAATCGGCATGTTCAGCCAGTCGGCGATGACGCGTTCTGCTCATGCGCTCTTGTTATCAGAGAACCGAGCCAGGAAAAAACCGAGCCGAACCCACCTCGGGAACTGGTCTGCAGTTAGCGCGGTCCGGTTATGTCTATCTCGGTTCAGTTCAGGTTGTTTCCGTTCACACACGACAAGTTATCTCAGTTACTGAGCTCGGACCGGTCTCGGCTCAGTTTTTTAAGGGTAGTGTAAACGGGGTATTAGACTCAGACAACTTTAACCTTTATAGGGCAGTCAGTGAAACAATTTGAAAATCTAAATTTCAAGCCAATAGTGTTATTGGAGGACAGAACAAGACCTTATTACTTTGGTAACCTTAAAAAATATGTATATTTTGTTGCCATAAATTAAGGCCAATGTAATAATAAGAAATGGCCACTTGCCCTAATATATTAAGAAAAATAATAAAAACACTTCTATAAGAAATTCACGAAAAATACTCGGAGTGAAAGAAGCATTTTTTTGTTTTTCCAATTTAATTTACAGTAGGTAATATATAATTCAAGGTCTCATCTAATTGGTCAAATTCAATGATAACATGTACAGCCATATAGCAGAATCTTTGCTGAATGGATGGATATAAATCTTTTGCTTCTAGACCTCACTGATGGATTGGGGGAGGGTGATTCAGATTGTTATAGAGTGTATCTGGCCTTTATTTGAAAACAAACCAAATTTCTTGTCTCTACACACAAACTTTGCAATTAAGATTTATCCTGATTCTCATCATTGGCTTTCTAGAGTACCTGGCAGCCATGTATCTCCTATTCACTTTCCATTTGTTGTACAAAGGAGTGTCAAAGTTTTGGAAAATATTCCTAAAAAAAATCTACTCTGTATTAACTTAGTTTTTAATTAAGTATTATTTAAAATACTCTAACCCTCTTAGCTAAGTATAGACCCAATGGCAAAAAGGAGTCATGTTTTAGGGTGTATATTCTTCTGGTCACAGGTAAGATTGATGGCTGACACCTTGTGTAACCTTGGCATCTCCATAAAGTCCAGAAAAGGGCTTTTGGTGTTGCTGAGCTTTTTCAGTCTCCTGGCCATCCAACACTGTGGTACCCTCAGTCCTCTACCCTATACAGAATCATCCCCTAAGAGTGTCTGGAAGCCCGTCGGCACTCCGAGGTTCAATGAATGGAGCAAATTGCCTGAGGAGTGGAAAATTCTTCTGTCACACGGCTGCTCTTATCAGTAACAGCCAGATGGAGCTTCACTGTGGTTGCATTATCTGTGTGAAATTGCTTTTTCTCCCAGGAAACCCAAGGATTTGCCCCTCCACAATGGCCTACAAGAAAAATTGGCCAAAGGTTTGGCAAGATGGGCCGAGATCAGCTCCATTTTTATCTGGTGTCCCTATCTTTGTTCTGTTTAAATGTATACGGTTTTATGCATTTATTTGTTTACTTTAAAAAAAAAAAAACACATAATCAAAATGGGAATATGACGACTGAAAAATTTTTCAATATTCATGGATATTAAATAGACAGAAAAAAATGCATCCATTGGGCTTTGAAGAGCTTTTATGCTAATAGTGTAGCTTGGGAAAAAAATATGTTCTAGAGAGCGGTCTTGTGACGGAGCTGCTTTTAAAATGTGCATTAAGTGACAGAGGGCTGGCAGTGTCTCTCACTAATCGAGATTTTCCATCTTAGACTATACAATTAGAAGCTACAAAGATGCAAAAATTATTTATATAGACATGGTGAAAATTGTGTTAGCCTTCTAGTAAAAATAAATGTGACACTGCATAATATTCACTGATTTCAATTTGGAAATCAAAACCATTTAATCTCAGTCACCAGCCCATTTCACTCTGGTTATGAGAGGCCTATTCAAGGCGTATGCTGTTTTTAGACAACCTCTTTCATCTGCGGTTGTCAAAATAATCAATACTTTGATAGAATCGATCCTAATAGATTATGTATATTTTATTTGTATCATGATGTTTTTAAAATTGAATATTCAAAGCACCATTTCTGTACCAGTGAAGTCTTAGTATCTTCTGAACAGCTAAGCCAAGAGTAGCTGTTATTAGCTTGATGGACATGGACAACCCAATAACAGGGTTCTGTGGGTCTGAGCCCCTCTTTTCAGAGAGTTCAGATCTGCTGCTGTAAGAATGAATCCACTTATTAACTGTTTACATCAGGCAGTCTGATGTAAACAGTGAAGCAATGACACAAACCCGTGCACCACCTCCATCACTCCTCCAATAAGTTGTGCAATTATTATGATGTTATATGATATGGCTGGTTTATAAGAAAAAAAGAACAATAGTTATATTCGACCCAGATTGGAAATGATTATTGAAGCGGAAAAACAAAGGTTGACTGCAAGTCAGGATAAATGCAATATTACATGGCGGAGGATGATGCACAACCTGTTTAAAATTCCCTTTGCCAGAATGCTTCTTATGTAAAATACACTGTTAAATGAATTTATATAGATTTCTATTTGTGTGAAACTAATGTATTATAATCACCCATCATGGGAATATTTTTAAGCCACTTGTATAAGGGTTATAGCTAAATAAAAAGAAATGCAGAGCGTGTTTCTGTGGTGCGTATGACCCATGTACGGAAGCCTTAGTCCTCGACGTGGTTGACCTGGGTTTGAATCCCAGCTTTTATCCTCGGCCGCATCTCCCTACCCCTCTCTCGTACCACCTTTCCTGTCATCCTGCTGTTCAACGCTGTAGACTACTAAAAACAAAACAAAAAATTGTTGCACCGGTGAAGTCATCAGTTTAATTCATAATCACTTTTGCCCCAGCTAAGCTACTTGTTAGATGGATATGCTTAAGAACACTTGTCTCTCTGTGGCCCTCAGGACAAACCTGGAGCTGGAACTTGTGCACCGTGGAGGAAACTTGTGCTCCGGTGGAGCCAGTGCAGCTGCCAAGCGCTCATGTCTAAGTGAGTACTAATAACTGGTTTCCTACCTTTATATTTTTAAACGTTGAACAGTTTCTGAATGTTATGTAGTTAGGCTGATTATAACTAAATATTCTAAGTTGCAAATAGTTTTTACTTTTTCCTGAGTCATGCTTCTACATATCTGCCTGAAATAATTTGCCTGGGTTTTTATGATCTTTAGTTTGTTGGGGATTATTTTTAAAGTTTTAAACTGTGTTAAAGTTATCAAAATCAGATCCAAATGTATTTGACTAAGATGTAATAGGATCTGGGGTACTATCAGAATCAGAAACGTAAATCTTAATATGTGTACATCTTTTCAACCAAAAACCAGATAAAAACAGCCTCTCGAAGATGTAAGTTTTATTAGTGGATAGATTTCTACTTAATTGTTCTGTTGAAGTTGGGGCTGCTCTAGGGAAACGGCCCGTCATCCTTGGGTGCCTGAAAAGAGATTTCACCCTGGAGGGTTGCCATTTCTGAGCTACATTAAGCGTGGAGCTGCTCTGACAGTCGAATTTACTCATTTACAGTACATTAGTGTTCCTTCTTCTTAGCGAAATGGATTTAAAGGAAAAAGGCAGACATTCACTAACTGTGAGAGCCCATGGGACTCTTAAGCCTGCTTCCCTATAGGCTCCTCATGTGTTCGACTGATGAGGTTACAATTGACTAGAGAAGCCAGTCCTCTTTGCAGTTCCCAGGGCACCAGCTGAATCAAATCTAGTAAGTGCAGCTTTCAAACAGAATTCAACTTTGATGCTTTAAAGGCAGTTTAAAGGATTATGACGCTGACCTTACCTGTTCCAGTCTGCAGCGTGCAGTTCTGGCCGCAGCTTTACAGTTTTTGTTGGCTACATTTTTTTTTTTTTTGTAATCCAGTCTTTTACATGATTTGAAAAACCTAAAGCATCTTCCTAAAAAATATATGACTATAAACAAACAACAACTGAAACCTGCAAAGTATTCAGTGAAAACTTTTTCAGGCTTCCTTCTCACATTTTCTTCTACCTGGAAACTGTAGCTGATATGTTGAAAGATCTGCATAATAATTTTTTTATTTTTCACAAATAAAAAATAAAAAAAGGGAGACATCATTCAGCGTATATAAAAAACTGTAAATCCCAGAATAAATACCTGCCTAATTCCAACCAATTGGTCTTTTAAAGCTAGTAAATCTCAGGATGAATCCGGCTGTTCTCTGATAGGCTCTGGCCTTTTGATGGGAAACATTAGTGAAAAAACAGCTTCATTGAGAGCAAAGCACACAACAGACAGGTTAGAAGTAAATCTGTGGCGAAATTGAGAGCAGAGTTTTTTTTACAAAACAGATTCTTATGGAGCGCTGTGATCTAAGATACCTGAAAGTTGAAAGAGCACCTCTGCTGGCTCACTAACACATCCATCAGTTAGCCAGCTCTAAGCTCCTGCTTCAGTAAACTACAACCTTGTATTCAGAGTTGCATTTATTCCCTTTGGCATAAAATATTTCTTGCATATCATTTTTTCTTTTAGATTTAGATATATTTAGACATTTTCCTCTAAGCTGGGAGCTGCTTGGCCCCATTTCCCCCTTGTTTTCATCTGCAATTTTGTACCTACGTTCACATGGTCTTTCTCTGGTGAATATTTAAAATAAAAAGTTTACAAACAAAAAGAGCAAAAACAAAGTGTAAGACAGAAAAAATATGATTTGATAATTTAATTGGAAAGCCTTGTTATGTAAATGGAGTGAACTACTGTCTTAGAAATTAGTAAAGGCATTTGACTAGGCACTTTTATTGATACCAATCCACCTAAATCCACAGGATAAGGAATAAGAGCGATATTTAGGTAAGAACTGTGGCCTTTAGAGATCATGGCTGAGCTAAGAGAATTCATCAACAGGACAGCTAATAATTGGGTGTCACATAGGGCTGAAACAATTTATAGTATTAATGTGATTAATCGATTATTGAAATAATCGTCAACTTATTTAGTAATCGATTAATCGTTAAATTAAAAACATGGCTTTAGCTGACAGAGAAACTATACCAACATTCTAAAAAAATTTAATTGTGTAAAAAATCTTCTTTAAGGAGCCCTTTGCTATCCCATTGTTAATAGATAAATAAAAAAAAAACTCAACAGATTAATCGTTTAGGGAAATAATCATTAGTTGCAAGCCCTAGTGTTACACTGGCCTATGCGGCATCACAAAGAAAGGGGGGAAGAAGCCATTGTTCAAAGAAAGATATAATCAGTTTTATTTTAATTTGCTGCAATCCATGAAGGGTGGAATTCCTGAACTCTGGTTACCCACAGCTTCTTGAAATCCTTTAAAATTTGTGAGTAAGAAAAAAAAAAAGTTTTTTAAGGTTGTAAAGTTTTAAAAACAGCCATGAAAATGCACTCCTGAGAATCTGCATCAGAATGATTTAAGTCCTACCTGGTAAGGAGATCTTTTCTGTTTCGCTTTTATTGTGAAATGTGGACAGAATCGGTACAGAAAAAAACAGATTTACTTTACTTTAGCAGATATATTTAGCCCATTATAGAAATTGTACTTTTTACTCTTAAGTAAAGAAGTTCAGGCATAGTTTTACTTTAACTAGTCTTTTACAGTGGTATCTGTACTTCCATTTAAGTAAAGAATATGAAAACTGGATACCCATTTCCAGGTGAGGACATCTTTACATCCTGCTCCTCATTCTAAATATCCATCCATCAATTTTCGCTTTGTCCCAGCTGAGGTTGCAGGGGGTGCTGGTGCCTATCTCCAGCTGTCAATGGGCGAGAGGTGGGGTACACCATGGCAGTCTATCGCAGGACAGAGACAAACAGGACAAACAACCATTCACACACACACACACACTCACACCTAAGGAAAATTTAGAGATGCAAATTAACCTAACAGTCATGTGTTTGGACTGTGGGACATTCAAAATGTGCTTAAGTTTATAATTGTTTTTATTTGCCACTATATTTGTTTTTCAGATAAAATGGAACAGAAGCCCAGTTAACTACAGCCAGGATCTGATTTTCAATCTTAGTTTTTAAGGTCTTTTCTTCTTCCTCTGTGGTTTGTTGCTGCTAGGAGGAGAAAAAAAAACATGCTGTGAAGACAAATGAAATGCCACCTTGATTCCCTTTGCTGTGTCTATTTTCACCTGCAGAGGGCAGTGTTGCTCCAAGAATCGATTTCTGACACAGCAGCCAAATTTCAGCACTGATTTGTTTGAAGCCATTTTGCTGCATTACAGCTTCAGAAACCCATATAGATATAAAGAAACAGAAATGTTTGCTTTTTGTTAAAAATATTTCCCAGGGGGATTTTTTAAAACTTGCATAATAATTGTGTTTATGCATATTTTTCAACAGACCATTAAATTTATTTAAGGAAAGAAATTAATGATAGTTTATTTTTATTTTTTTTGTGTGTGATATTTTAATGAGCATACATGAGATTTTGTGTGTGCACCATTGTTCCCTTGTAATGTTTCATTGGTTTCAAAAAGAACAGGTGCCAAAGAGTCACTCAAGCCTATCAGACCTGAGTCCATCTGGTTGGACACACTTTTATCTGTGCAAACTATCAGCCTGCAGTGTCTCATATTGTTCTCCTACATGTACCCCCTTTTCTTGCTGCTGTTTTTGCCACAGGGGCTATTTGTAGAATAACAACATCTTTTTTTTTTTTCCTCTCTCAGATCAGCTGTTCCATGTGTTGGCCATGCACATGAGACTCTACAGCATCGACTCAGCGTACAACCCATGGACAAAGCTAACTCAGATTGCGAGACAAAAAGAGGCAGAGTAAGTGACCCCCCCTTCCTTAAACACTCTCCCGTAAATGAAAATCTATAGATCTTTTAATACAGCCTAACTTTCCATCATCTGCTGTTTTTGTCAGTATTTCCTCTCACATAAAACCTGACGCTAAAAACTGAGAAAAAAGGGAACTCTGCCTGGTTACCATAGATACCAGTAATTGCTGCATCCGGCAAATTACCGGGCACTCCAGGCAGAGCCAAACGACCCTGTCAAATTGAGTGTACAGAGAGCAACTGTAGCACACCAGCTCCCAGCTGTCTACCACCCTTTTAAAGGAACAAGTATTTATTTAGCAAAATGCAAAAAGAGGTAAAAATAAATGGTTTGGACATTTGAATGTTTTTCAAGGTAAACAATGGAAACCGTTTATATTCTTAATTGCTAGTTAGAGATGCATATAACTGCAAATTCTGGTCAATGTTAACCCCTTTCATGTTTTTTTACATTTTTTTAACCCATCATCACTCTGTTAACTTAATAACTGTCACCAAAGTCTGTTATGTGCAGGAATCAATGGCTCCAAAGGTTTGTCCAGCTTACCAAATTTAAAAATGAAAAAATTGAAAATTTGAAATCTAACATCCCATCAAACACTGCATCCAGTCATTTAAACATTTATATAGTAATGTGCTGTTTAGCTCTAAAAAAACAAAAAAAAAAACATGGTTAAAGTCATTTATTTTGGAGCGCACAAAAACCACCCTCCATAATGTTTTTCAGACATGCTTTTACACCTATTCTCATCAAAGTGCCTGCAGCCTCACAGTATTCTCATCGGACCTATTTGCTGTTTAAAAATACTCGGTTAGAGCTTCATAAGGGAGCAGAGTCATTCAAACCCCGAGGCTGTAGACCTAATGTAGTGTAGTTATATAGGACAGCCATGTTTCTACATGGCTCTCACCATTCTTTGCTCTTTATAAAAGAATTGTTAAAAGAACTTGTTTGAGTGTGCGGCTGCAGATAATGGTTGAAAGCCCTGTCCTTTAAGGTTTCCTTGTAGTGATCTGAAGAATTAAGTGGTGAGTGGTTTAGAAATGGAGGTTTTATTCTTTAAGTGCTGTTCCTCTTGTTCTAAACCCCTGAAGCAGCCTTTCAAGGGTAAAGTGGAGACCAGAACATGAACCATACAAAAGGGATGCCAATTGAAATGGCACAGAATAAGAATACGTTAGAGCAGAATGCATTAAGGATTTTAATCAGAGGGATATAAGAGAAAAGGGCTTTGAAGCTTTGCCTTTGTTGTACAAATTAAACAAGAAAAAAACAGCAAATGTCCTTCTGTCAGATAGTCCTACGACACATTTAGATGTGCTTTAAGCAACATTGTTTTATTTAATGTTATGTTGAATTGCCCATTGCTATTTGGACTTTCAAAATGAAATAAACGGATAAAATAGCTACCAACTTAATTCATCTTAGAGGTGGAGGACATTGTCCATGATGATGACAACAGACCAGTAAAACTTTCACAGATCCTGAAGAACTTAAGCCTTCTTAGGAAGTAAAATCTACGTTGACCCTTTTTGTAGAGGTCATCTATGTTTGCAATCCAGTCTTGTCAAGCAGATTGTCCAAATTCCTGCCTACTCATCCCCTAGGCTTTTTGTTTTACTTCAGCTGTTGGCTTTACTTTTGCATCAGACTCACAAATTGGATATTAACCTATAAGGATTTATGTCTGAGTTTAAAAAAAATAAAATTCAATTCCTTGCATATTTGAAACTGGGGCATTTTAATGTAAGTGAAGAATTACACTTTTTGCATGTACTTTTCAGTCTGTAGTAGTTGCTATGTTCCCACAGCTATCTGACTTTGCACTGAGTTCATGCTGAACTGTTTGAGTAATAAAAAGCTCCTTTGTTTTTTTTTCTTTTTCCAGTGGCTTTGACGAGGAGAGACCTGAGGTCCCCATGCTATTTCGAGATGTCCCATCCCTCCTCATAATCTTTGTACTAACTATGCCACAGCCTCTGCGTAAAGGTAAGGTTTCTCTCCCTGCATCATAAAACCACAGAAACATGGACCTTTTTTTAAGAAAGGCAGCACAAAGGTTTCCCATATTTCATCTCAGGTTGATTGTTTCAAAGAAATTCCTTATCTTTCCTCGAGTTGCTGCTTTGGCTGCAAGAATCATGAAGATTTGACCCTGATGATGGGAGGTCTGCTCCTCCTCTCTGTGTCTTTTATCTCTTACTTTTACTCTTTACTCTTTACTTGTCTTCTGTAAAAATGAGTTGATGTGCTGTTTTCACTGAAAAATAAGTTTGGTGGAGAATCATTAAACTGATCCTTAAGTTTTAAATATTCTTTGCGTGTAAAACTTTGGAGAAAAGATTTTTATATCCAACTGTTTTTTTTATTTTGTATTGACAGATGGCTAAATCCTCGTTCATTACGAATCTTTACACACAGATTAACTGTTGAAACATTTACCCCTTTAACGACCGACCTTCAGAATCATAGACAGGTTTCAGATATTACAGGCTAACAATGGAACCAAACGACCCGCTTGTCGCTTTCAATTTGCATGTTTCCAAGCAATACAAGGCCTTGTCTATATAAAGACTCAAACTCACTGCGGATCCAGACATTTGAATTGAGAAAGCTTCCTGGAGGGGAAGCGAAACGTCTTTAAACCTTTGAAACCAAGTGACTATGACCTGGATGAATAAGAATCTAAATCAGCAAATTGTAGAAGCTATTCTTGCAGTAAGACTATAGCTAACTATCCCACTCTAAATGTGAAGTGCCACATAGTTCTGTTGTTTGTTTGGCTGGATATATAACAAAGGGTATTCATTGTTTTTTAGGTATTTGTCTTAATCAATGACTGTTTTTTTTTTTATTCTACTCATTTGGTGCTGTCTACTGCTGCCAAATGCTAAATATTTTTGAAATAACCAGAGATCCTTGTACATTTGAAATTGGTTGTGATCTATGTGGTTTTTATCTGTCCTCTGTAGAGCACTTTACCTGTGTGATCAAGATGCTGTACAACCTGCAGTTCACTCAAGCTTTGGCTGCGCTGTCAACCAAACTCAGCCCTGAAGAAAGGCAAGCCTGGGTCACATCAGGAGCACTAAAGAAGGTGAATACTAAGCCTCATAACCATCATCTCAGAGCCTGCTTGCTCATTAAAGTTTTTAATCTTCCTAGTAGCTAGGGGTTTTGGGGAAAAATCTATTTGGTTTTATACATCACAACTTTCGGCAGTCCAATATAATATTGATCTTAGCACATAATATACTTTTTATTTATATATATATATATATATATATATATATATATATATTAAACAAAACCATTTTTCCTTAAAACAATTGGGGAAATTGCGCTACTTTCTCACCACCACTCTGATAAAGAGCGCTGTGGAGCCTTTTAGCCGTGCAGCGAAGCACCATTTCTCTAGCAGAGGCAGTCACAGTGGCAGACATGGACTGAATCAACCCCAAACAACACAGCTACTAAAATAACAAAACAATTGAAAGATCAATATCTTCTGTTGAACATGTATACCTCTCGCACTTTATCTTTTGTTTTTATTTTGATTTTAGCTGGGTGGAATATCGTAATGTATCTAGTTATTGCAATATTGTGATATCATATCATTACCCAACCTTCGTGATGTGTATTGTGTTACAACGCTCCTGCCAATACTCACACCTACTAGAATCTATGCAATGTTTTTTTTGAATGTTTGATTTCCTGTTAAAAAACTCCAGCTTAACTGTCAACTTAAAAAAAAAAAGTATAGTTAGTTATTGTGTGCATTCTTTCTTTTGTATTGTTGTATTAGGGGTGTAAAGGTACATATATTTTTCTTTGCTTGTTATGGGACAGATGTCGCTCCTCTGTAGAAATGGACCTACAGAGAATAAGTCAGTCCCAGACATTGACTCCTCTCATTTAGAACAGTACATTAAAAGCATGTTTTTATTGTTGAATAAAAACATTAAACACTCAAACCAAACTTAAGGGGTATTTGGCTTTAATGCTAATAAAATCCAAGCATTAGGCCCATTATCAACATTCTCATGTTCAGTCAGCAGTGCTTGAATTTTAAGTTTTTATCTGCAGTGCAAAAGTAGAAAGCAAACGGCTTGTATTGCTAGCCATGTAGTCCTAAAATACAGTATGTGTGGCAAGTTGTTTTTGTATTTATAATGTTTGAGTGAAATTAGTTTTTTACATCAGCCAATATTTCACCTTGCACTAATGTAAACTTCAAAAACAAACAGCGTTCCTCAGTCCCTGACAGTTAAATGACTATGAACTGAGGTATTACATAGGTTTTCAGTCAGTGAATATATGCTGTTCTCTAATGCGTTTTAGTTTGCATAAGGCTGGGGCTAAATTGAATTAAAAAGAATACCAATTGCTTTAATTGTCCCTAAAGATTTGTGGAATATTTTAATCGATCAAAGTCAGTTTACCAGAACACAAATCCTGCCTCTGTACACAGCCTGCAGCCTTAGTGGGTTCGCCATCAAGGTTTGTTTCTATTATGAGTAGTGGAGGAAAAAAAAAGATCTGCATCACAATGTCTGTTTCAGTTTGGTTCCGTACCTTGACTACCTCAAACTAAGCCATGATTTATTATATGAATCCGTTTGCCTTTCAAATGCCATGTTATGGTGTTAGCTGGGAGTCTGCACCTTATAAATAAACTATATTAATATTTAGGTGGAGCGTTAGACTCAATAGAATTGTTTAGTGATTAAACCAAAATGAAAATGTGCTAATCAAATGGATTTCCATCTTTAAATGGTACGTTTCCACTGTACCTTCCTCATCATTAATGTTCACTGCTGTGAGTTTGAAATAGTATAGAATATCCACACTATGTTAAATGCTTCTTTCATGAAAGTGAACAGAAAGCAAATTGAAGAGAGATCTGAGGCCCAAGGAAGGAAAGCTTTACACTCGAAAATCCTCCTCTATAAATCTGCGACAAAGGACAGCAGACGAGATAAGACTGCTGTTTTATATTCTACCACCTTCAGGTTGATTAATGTGTTCAGCTTTTCATCTGTATAAAATACCAGCCAGATCAGCAGAACACACATTTAAATCAGAAGAACACACATTCAGTAATGTCTTTTCCTGCTAATCAGATACTACTCTGCATTAGTCAGTATATTTTGTAGGGGCAGCACGTCTAAAAATGGTGAAAACTGCAGTTAGTCGAGTGAATTATTGTGATTGGATTAATATTATGATCAAATTATTCTTATATAAACGTGGTACATCTAGCCAAATATCACAAGATCTCATGTCTTTGATCATTTAAACAGGTGACAAATTAGACTGATGGGTAGATAAATGGTGTTTCTAGAAAAGACTAAATTAAAGTACAATACAACACAGTAGTTGAGATGTGAAATCTTGCCCCTGCTTTTCCTTGTACATTTCGTTTTAGTTTTTAAACCTGTTTAATGTCCCTGGCAAACATTATTGCCCGTTATAAAACCTACAGTTCCTCAAACATGGCCAAAGTGAAATGTTAGAATTCAGATTAAAGAGATCTAAGGAGCTAAAATCATAGACTTGTTTTGTGCGGGAAAAAATCTGGGGATCAAAGGGTTTAAACAGACAGGTGTTTTATGATTAAACAGATCTTTTTTTTTTATTTGTCTTACCTGTTTTTTTTATTTTTGGAATGGAATAGAATAGAAAATCCCTTTATTGTCCCACAATGCGGAAATTGTGGTGTTACAGCAGCAAAAGGTTATAGCAGAAGTGGTCACATAAATGTGGACCTTAGAAAGTGTATAAAAATAACTGAATAAGTAACAGAGTTAAGAAAATAAACAAATAGCTGCTGTACTGTACAGTGTTTTACAATATAAAAGCTCTGTATAATGGAGAGTAAATAATCAATAAACAGCTGTGGACATTTTTGCAGTAATGGATATTTAAATAATTGCAGCAACATCAGAGATGTGCAAAATGACAGGAGCATGTTATTTAACTGAGAAACTGCAAAAAATCAGCAAGAAAGTAACAACTTATTGAGTTTGTTGGGAAAGTGGTGGTTATACAGTCTTGCTGCTGCTGGGAGGAAGGATCTGTGATAACGCTCCATGGTGCATTTAGGGTGCAGCAGTCTGTCACTGAAGGAGCTCTCCAGTTCTGCAACAGCTTCATGCATGGGTGGGATAAATTATCCAACAGAGATGTTGATTTACTTAGGATCCTTTTGTTTCCCACCTCCTGCACCGAGTCCAGAGGGCATCCAATCACAGAGCTGGCCTTCCTGATCAGCTAATCCAGCCACTTCCTCTCAGCTACAGATAAGCCACTGCTCCATCAGACAGCTCCATAGAAGATGGCTGATGCCACAACAGAGTCATAGAAGGTCTTTAGGAGCGCCCCCTGCACTCCAAAATACCTCAGTCTCCTTAGCCTCAGGAATCTGTTAGTACAGGGAGTTTATTGCCCAGCTTGAGAGAATATGTAAAATAGAGCCTGGTCTTCAGATATTTCAAATAAGGGGGAACTAAATTACATCTGCAATCTATTTAATACAAGCTGATCCACAAAGATTGCTGGGCAAATGTTAAGATTGTCCAAATGGATTTGGCTCTGCCCCTTAAGCAAGCAGGATGCGTTTCCTACCAGGAGTTTGAAAGTGGTTGTAAAATAAAGATGAGGTGCAAAGCCATTATAGTAGGAGGTAATAATGATGTAAAAATGCTTAGAAAAATATAATTATAATCCTAAAGTAATATTTAGAAGGTGCCTGGTATAAGTACCCTATCTTGTATGTGGTTTGAAAAAAATAGAAAATAACATTTGAAATGAACTGTAGTTGTATAAAAAGAAGTGATATTTAACATGAGGAAATGGGTGAAAAAATATAAAACTTTACCATGTTTTGTTTTTTGTTGAATCGGGGTAGACAGGGAAACCTGTTGAGGGGTAAGAGTTGTGCACTCTTACCCCAATGTGTCTTTTAAGATATATTTGTATATCTAAACATGCCATGATATTTAACCTCTGTCTTTTTTTTTTCTCCAATTTGATATATATATATAGATGGTCTGCTGCCCTGCTAAATAAATTTTAGACTGATTTATTTGATAGTACAACTTAAAGTGTGTCATAAATGGGAAGTTGAAGATGCATAGTATTTAATTTCCATAAATTTGTATTATTTGTCAAGTAATTTATTTTTTTCCATTTAAAATGTTGAACAATTTATCAGACATCAGTGTGCTGCTCTTTTTAAATCCTATACCTAAATATAACCATGAAATCACCTGCCTCTAGAGATCACCTAGTTCATAAATTACAGTATTTCATGATTGTCTTACAAAGGGCAAAATATTTTTTCTGCTTTTCACAGCTAGATTTTAATGTAATTATGTTTTGTTTCTTGCTCTTATTCTTATTTTCTTGCTCCATTAATGGTCAAAAATGTTTTTGGTTGGGTTTCCTTCTTTCTAATAATTCATACATGTATTCATCCGAAATGTTGGAAAGAACATATTTATAGTAGTAGTAGTTGGAGTCTTTGATGCTTAACTGGAAGCATATTTTATATTATTCGTAATATAAAAATGTGCTTTTTTTCAGATAAAAAAAAAAAAAAAAAATTCTTCATCCTCATTCAGCACAACAAACCCATTTCCTTGCCTCAAAATGCCCCAAACCTTACCTTTCTCCTTTTTCTAATCATAAGCAGCAGATAACAACCTAAAATGTGGGATGGAATTGCTCTTTTCTTAGTAAATAAATGTGCGTCTGTATGCTTTATTTATATATAGAGTTGACCTAAATATTAGGTCCTTTGTCTGTAGTCAACATTTTTAATGGAAAATCTTGAATTTTCTGTCACAGAACACTCTAAATGCAGAGAAGTCCTCCAACGCTCTGCTCAGTCATGTCATCAATGAACTCTCAAAGGACAAGAGTGTTTACAAGGTGACCAGTAAAGAAACTACTATGGTGAGTCTTTATGATGACTGTGTGCTATTTTTAAACTTTACTACAATGAAGATAACATACAGGGTTCTCTCATGGCTCCTTTTCATTTCCTCTTTTACTATAAATTGGCCATTACCCCCACAGACGGTGATCTAATGTCTACTAATCTCCAGCAGTAATTGTATATCAGAGTGTTAGCAGAAAGCTGTTGGCTGGTTATTGATCAGGTGCTTCTGTTGTTTTCCTCTTCAGCTGAGCGCCAGTGTGTGGTCGCCACAGTCTATTGAGTTCAGCCTGCAGCAGTTCTGCCTGCCCTTCCTTCGCCTCGCCTGCCTTCTGCAACATCACCTTTATGGAGATAACCTGACTGGCTGCCTGGTATTTTTCTCCTCAGATATCACCAATATTTTTGCGTTTCTGCTCAATGCTTATAAAAAATGTGCCAACCCAGGCTGATTAGAGGAAACTTTTTGATGAGATTTGTTCTTGGTCGAGTGTTCATCATTTGTTTTCATGTTGTTCCCAGGAGGAAGAGGAGTTCTCGTCCTTGGCTGTGTGTTTAGGGCTGCTGTCAGCAGCTCCTCAGCCTCCAGGCGCCGTTCACAGTGCCTCATGTCTGGAGTGGCCCTTCAACGCCTTTGACTTGGTGACGCAGTGGTGTGATGAGGTCACAGGGCTATCTCAGATGCAACCTGAGCAATCACTAGTATGTGCATCTTAGTCAACACACCATCTGTGATAACATTTTGAAGCATTAGGGCTTGTCTGTGATCAATATCAGCATATTTAAGGTTTTAGAAAAGCAAAAGCAATTCCTTTCAGAATGGCAGGGGTTAGGTAAGAGCGTCCAGTTGCCATTTCAAGGCCATATCTTTTATTGAAAACTCATATTTAGCCTACAGATTCAAAATGATAAAGGTTTTATTCCTTCTGATTGCTATCATTAACAGGCTTCAAAGAAATGCTCAGCAGCACCACTTTTAATAATGGTAAATATGAATAAGATGACATATAACAGTTTGACCTAAAACGGAGTCCTACTACAGAGGAATGCATTCCCTCTCCTCAGCAAAACTACAGGAGCATGGGTCAAATTAATCAAAAACACACTAAACTATTTGTTTAAAATGTTTCAATTACTACTATTTTCTTAAACTCTGATTAAAAAAGAAAAAGTGCTCCAGTTTGTTATATTCATATTATTATGTTATGAATTAAAGAAGCAATAATGTAGGAACTGGATTCTGCTAAAATAATAAAAATGAACTGCTGCATCAGCCTTTACTAATGAAGGCTCAGATAAAACCACTTAAAACTCATTTATAAAGCAAAAAAGAAAACTTTATGGAAATCACTGTCTAATTTATAATTAATATTGATAATAGTCATAATAAATAATGATTACGAGATTTAAAGATCTAGGGAAGTCATATATAAATGTTAAATCATTCTGGCTTAAATATGTATATAAATGTACTCTTTATTAGACCATATTGTCCCAAAAGTTAAAACAGTTCTAGTTTTTAAAAGTTTTTTTTTTTTTATATATATATTTTTTTTTTATCTTCTGCAGGCCAGTTAGTTATACGTCAGCTTGAACACCTAAATTCGGCCAAACAAATATCAATGGCCATCTGTCAATCACATAGCATCTTGATTCATCTGTCGCAGCTAATATATGCAACGGTTGAAATAAGCAGACATAGAAAAAGAAGCATAGATACAAAAGGCAACTGTCAACTAGCTCCACAGGCGGCCCCGTCCAGGAAACACACAGCCAGGCAGACAAGCTCTGAGCCAGTTAGTTATACGTCAGCTAAGTTCGGCCAAACATATATCAATGGCCATCTGTCAATCACATTTTTTCGGTGATAGCATCTTGATTCCTCTGTCGCAGCTAATATACGCAACGGTTGAAATAAGAATCATTTACTTTACCATTTAGTTACGTCCCAGTGTTCACAGGGATGGACGTCGGTCGTCCACGCTTTCCTCCTCTAAATAAAAAATGTATGACAGAGGAGACTCATCCATGACCTCCGACACAAAACTGTCCTCCTCTTGCTTGTTTCTGCTGTCCATAGCGTTCCCTGACAGGGTCGTTGCTAAGTGCTACTTGGTCCCAATGTAATTTCTAATTGGGACCCTACTAGCACTAAGTTGCTAACTTGTTAGCAAGATGCTTCCAAGACACCTGTCACAGCCAAACTTGCTTGCGAACCTTTGCCACAACAATCCCACCTCCTTGATAAACGACCAATCACATTCACTTTATTCACTGGTGTAAACTCGGGCACCACTTGGGAGAATTCGGAACTGCAACCGTTGGAACAGCCGCTTCCCTACGACTTTAAGATGATTCATTTCCCTTTAATTTTCCCTTTTGTCATCTCAGATCAAGGTAACATTTTAAGGTCTATAAAATGTGGAATCTAGTATGTACAAAAAGCCTCCGAGACCCTTTAATTAACCTTTCTAAAAATGTGCCTCTGTATAGAAAACCGGGTGGAAACCTGATTTAAGCTTGTTTTGGTTTTGTGAGCTATAACAGCGAGAGGCCTTATACCTGTCCTGGTTTTCTTTTCTTTCTCAATTAACTAAGGAGCTGTCAGTCTGACTCACCTGGACTTTCACCATGACTTTTAACAAGCCTGCTGTAACATTACTGATGCCGTTCCTCTCCTCCGCAGAGCTTGCTGGTTCAAGATCCTCAGTGGGCTCCACCTCGCCTTCTTCAGCTACCTGACAACTATAGCATCATCTTCCAGTACTATCACAGAAAGGCCTGCACTGCCTGCAAGAAGGTGCCAAAAGACCCTGCACTCTGTCTCGTTTGTGGCGCATTTGTCTGTCTCAAAGGCGGGTGCTGCAAACAGCAGGGTACCTGTGAATGTGTTTTGGTAAGTTTATCCTAAGTTGTAGACTAATGTTTAGAATACTGATGGAATAAGAGATTGTTTAATGAAAATAAAAAAAATTTAATAAGTCATTTTAAAATGATTATAATAAAGAAATATTGGCTATCCTTAAAACATGGTATGTACTGCTTTCCCCTAATGAAATTTGGAGGAAAGTTGAGTAGGTTTGGTTGCTGAAACTTGGTATCAAACCGGCCCCGGGGCCACATTGGACAGTCCAAACGGACCGAAAACCTTCAGCCATATCGGCTTGTAGATAGGAGAGGCTAACGTTTCGCTCACATGTTCATCTCATTTACTCTGATTAACACTGTTTTCAGCTGTTCAGACTTTTCAGGTCCTTCTAGTGACTTTTTTTTTTTCTAAAGCGTCCAATGACAAATAAATTGACTTTTTTGTTTTGTTTGAGACTTTGGCAACATTGAATAAATGGCTCTGAACTGTATTCAGCGATTAGCTACTGCAGCTGTGAGTCCCCCTGCTTCGAAAGCATTGTCAGCAGGATTTGAATATATTGTAAACATAGTTTTTAACTTTGATTTGCTGTAACTGATTCACAGACAGCTTCTGTCATTTGTTCACCGCATACGCTGTGGGTGGCTCTGCTGTCTTTTGGTTAAATTTGATCCTATAACAAGATGTATATATGTAGTCTGGAATCAGGTGAAATTTGAATGAATGATTTAGTTATTTTCTTTATCTTTTTTTTATTTAGTATTGGCTGATAGAGACCTGATATGATATTAGCACGAATCACAAATGCTGTTATTATTTTAGTGTGAAAAAACAAATATTACATAAAGATACAGAAAACCTCTAAGAGCTCTTCTGTTAAAGGAATCCTTCTGTTAAAGGAATAGTACACCCAAAACATGATTAGCCTTCATTTTCTACTCACCCCCATGCTGAACAACACTCTGGAGTACTTTTTTGATATCTCAAATGCATCTGGAGATCTGGGAGGCTTCTTGCTGTCTGCTGACATTCAAATAATGGAGGTCTATGGTGCCCGAGGCAGAAAGGTCCATAAAAGTCCACAAAAAATGTGTCAATATTCCTCCATACTGCTCGTCCAATGTATTCCAAGTGTCCTGAGTGGGTAGCATCCAGAATTTACTCGAAACGAAGTCATTTAGAATGTTTTTAGAGCATAAACAGTAGTGTATAGGATTTCCTGAAAGCGCGCACATGCGCGCTCACGACGCTACGGAAGCCGGCAGACAATACCAGATGAAAGTGCGCATTCAGCGTCTGCTCTGCCAATAATGCAAGCGTAGAAGAAGAAATGTGCTGTTTACCTGTGCAAAGAAAGAAACAACGAAAGAAAAATGTCTGAGGACTTCAGTGTTGAGGAAGAGCATGAGTTCTTTGCCGAGCTGAATGCGCTGGTTTGGTCTGCCGGCTTCCGTAGCGTCGTGAGCGCGCATGTGCGCGCTTTCAGGAAATCCTATACACTACTGTTTATGCTCTAAAAACATTCTAAATGACTTCGTTTCGAGTAAATTCTGGATGCTACCCACTCAGGACACTTGGAATACATTGGACGAGCAGTATGGAGGAATATTGACACGTTTTTGTGGACTTTTATGGACCTTTCTGCCTCGGGCACCATAGACCTCCATTATTTGAATGTCAGCAGACAGCAAGAAGCCTCCCAGATCTCCAGATGCATTTGAGATATCAAAAAAGTACTCCAGAGTTTTGCTCAGCATGGGGGTGAGTAGAAAATGAAGGCTAATCATGTTTTGGGTGTACTATTCCTTTAAGCTGTACAATATAGTAATTAAAAATAAGAATATTTATGTGTCAAATTATATTGGATGACTTTAAAACAAGGTGAGATTTAAGTTAAATTGAATCTTTTTTATAGCCAGGATTAATCTATAATAAAATGGTAGTGATATTAGAGACTAAGTTGTGAGATCAAGCTTCATTTTCACCAGTCAAAGTTGTATTGGTTTTATTGAATTTTTGTTGCCTGTGTTATTGTAGCACTCCCAACATTGTGGTGCAGCTACAGGCATCTTCCTACTGATCAATGCATCAGTCATCATCATCATCCGTGGACATCGGTTCTGTCTGTGGGGTTCTGTTTACCTTGATGCTCACGGGGAAGAGGATAGAGATTTACGGTAAGCTGAATTTCTAAACAAATTTAATGCTTAATCTCTGCTGTTGATGGCTCCTCTGGATTATTAAGTACTTTGCTATGAACAGGGAAAAGAGGGATGTTTCATTTAAGAAAGTAAATAATTAAGCAGTATCAAGGTTTTCTGGTTATTAATGCATTATTATCAACTTTATTAAAATACAGTTGTTTATGTGAGAAAGGCTCCAATAACTTATTTAATATAGAATCAAGACTTTTATCAGTTCCATTGATTTTATGAGTCCCTCTTAAAAATAATAAAAATACTCAGTATTAATATTTACCTTATTAAATATTTTAGAGCATATCAGAAGTTTGTTTATGTGCTTTGAAAATTAAATCTATTAAAAAAGTAACATTATTAATACTTCTATTAATACTTCATGTTTTATAAGGAGATATAATTGATATCTATTTTTATCTGTTTTTTTTCATCTCTGTTTTATGTTTTGCTTTAAAGTACAAAACCATAAATTGGGTAAATACCAAATGAACTAACATGCTCATCTGCGGTGGTTTGTTTTCTGTTTTTCTGCAGCCGTGGCAAACCTCTGTTCCTGTGCGAAGAGAGGTATCGAGTGTTGGAGCAACAGTGGGTTTCTCACACCTTCGATCACATCAACAAACGCTGGGGGCCGCACTACAACGGACTCTAAGATCTTCCAAAGTCTGCTTAAAGAAAAACACACATAAATCCAAGATGGAGAGGATTGAGATTTATTAATAATGTTCTGATTTTCCTGGCTTGTATCTGCCTTGATTAAAAAAAATATTCAGAAAATCCTTTTGTTTTAAACAAACATCCAATAAGGTTATCGCTGCCACAGCTTTTGGTTTATGTGAAGTTTGGTGTACAGTTATGCCTAAAAGAAAAACACGTGTGCGTATAAGTGATTTATTGTGTGGTTTTCAACAGGGGGAAAAAAAATAAAATAAAATCTGAATTGGGTGATATTTCAATAAAGAAACAATAAGTTTGCCCAGATCTTCATTTGGTCTGGCTTCAGATGTCTGTTCTGTTCACGTTTCAAAGCCACAGATCAGATAGATGTGTATTTAGAAAATATATCAGATTAGCTCCCTGACAGAGCTGATATGTTTTTTGCTCCATTTATGATGAAGAAAACGCATATCCCTTTTATTTAAGATGGTGCGCTCCCATCTTCTGCCCTGGGTTTTAAGCTCCTAATGAGTAAAACAAGGTTTCCGTCGGTGACGCAGGTCTGCTGACATGTGATGGTAGGCTAAACCAAGTCCACCCATCAAGGCAAGAGTTAGTTTTTTTTGTTTTGCGAACAAGAAAAGGACTCTTTCTGGGTCTAGTTGCAATCCATCCTCAGGAATTATTATTTTTCCTTTTTTTGTTGTTGTCTTTGCTGTTGAAAATATGTTTTAGATATTTAAATAAATGCTGCTGCTCATTGTTAAAAAAAAAAAAAAACAAACTTTTGTGAAGATTTTTTTTTCTGTAAGATTGTGCTTTGAGTTTACAGTTGATGGCTGGATATGTGGATTCAAACTCACTAATGTTCAAGGAGGTATGCAGTCCCTACTTTGCACCCACTTCAGGTGTCATTAACCTGCCTTTTTAGTGGTTTTAAATTTGGTTGGATGAACAGGAGAAAACAAAAACTCTCATATGAGTCACTTTGTTTCAGCGTCATCAATATCAGTGCACAGGCTTTGAGTCCTGCAAAACGCCATATCTGAACAAAAATATCACATCAAGTTGGATCTTCCTCCTTTGGGTAAACAGATTTCTACCTTTCTTTCCTTTTTTTTTTTACCAGTTCATATCTTCAACACATATGAATTCATAATGACTATCTCTAACTCGTGTATCATCTAGTTGTGATTTGTAGTTGCATTTTGACATCGAGGGATTATCAGAGTTGGTATCCGTTATAACACTGTGCATGGCATCATTTAAGCAACATTATTTGTCTAAAATACTTTATTTTTCTGATTTATCACCTTGCTCTCTGGAAGGATAGAGATTTAGCTCAGTCGGGCCTGCAGAGCTTCTGTTTACGGCTGTCTAGGACTGAAATGCTGGGAAATGTTTTGCTTCGATGTGGATTCATTAAAAAAAAAAAAATCGCACATCTAGAACCTCCTCCCAAATGTTTGCATGCTGATTTCCTTTACTTCCCTGCAGGTTTCGTGCTTTTCTTTCTTCATTTTTGCTGTAACCACTTTTTGTAAAAGACAGCAACCAAATAGCCAATAATGGGTGTAAAATTGTAACTGAAAGCTTCTGTCTTTTCCTGTGTGACTGAAGAGGAATACAGTACATTACTGTAGGTGCTGACTCAAACTTTCTGAGTTTGACCAGGAAGTATGATTTGGGACATTTAATGAAAAATGTAACATATGTGAATAAAATATAAGCACACAATATCGGATTCCCTTTGTGATTTTTTTTTTTCTTTTGTCAGATGTCACTCAAATACTGCAGAAGACTCTTAAGATAATTTAATCACATGAAAATAATATACAAAAAAAACACCTCAATATCAGCACATTAAGCGATAATTTATGGAAATATTTGAAGCTTTAAAGGCTTTAATTTATATTTGAATATAAATTAAGTACAAAATGCTACTGAAGTTACTTTTGATTACATACAGGTAAAGTTTTATCTATTGTGGATTTCCTCTATTGGTTTCTAATCTACACATTGGCCTGATAGAATAAATTAAATTGAACATAATTAGGCATGTGATAAGGTTCAGAAATGCGGATTCCTTGCAACAATCAGAATGGTCTAAACTGTGATAGATTACACAGCAGAGCTTGAATTGATTTACAAATGTGTTTATACATTTAACTATTGCTATAGATGGATGCCTGCTGTGACTATTTGTTTTGCTGTTGTACATTCAGATGCACAACATGGGGATATTAGAAATGCATATACAGTAGAATAAAATATGTGGTATTTAAAACTTTTTTGATCTTTCATATAAAAGTATTTGTGTTATGCTCCTGCCTTCAGTCTGATACATGTAATGGAATAAACATGAGAGGAAGGCCATTGTTAAAACCACAGGAAATTATGTTTGCAGTTTACCACACACCATTTAGAGCAGTGGTTCCCAGTCCAGGTCCTTAGGACTTTGTGTCTGACGTTTTTTTGTTCCACACACACCTGATTCAAAGGATTTTATTTGCTCCTCTGCAGGATGAAGTGCAGCCTAATCCTGTTAATCATCCAATCATTAAACGTAGGAGTACACGCTGCAAAAAAATTGAAATCCAAGTCAATTCTTCTTAAAATAAATGCATTCCTTTAATTGAGCAGGTAATTGAAACAATCTGCCAATGGAATAAGACAATTTACATTTAAAATATGTTATTTAGGTTCCATGGTATCTATCTTATTTCATGGGTAAAAATGCTCTTTCCATTGGCAAATCATCTTCTTTACCTACTCAAATAAAGGTTAAATACAGTTGTTTTAAGACAGTTTTGAGATAAACATTTTGAGATGATTTTTTAGGTGTAGCAGCAAGGAAATATCTAAACAGTGTGCTGCAGTGGGTTAAGAAGAATGAGCCTGAGAACCACAGATTTAGATGATTCTGCAAACCTGTAAGACGATTCTCTAGTCAGACGAGACCTAAAGCAAATTTCACTATCAATACAGAATACAGAGAGTACAATATGCGGTTCACATTACATCCAAAAGACAATCTGTGAAACATGGCGGTAGCTGCATCGTGCTATGGGTTTGTCTTTCTTAAATAAGCCTGTAAATGTTTATGGAAAGAACATGAATAAAGCTATATTCAGGACAGTCCTGAGAAAAAGCCTTTTAGAGTCTGCAAAACAGGATTTGTACAAAGCGTCCCTGTGTGTGTAAACAAACTAACTGGATCTGAGAAGTTAAATAAGCTTGTCTACACTGCTCTGATTCCTAACGGGTTGCTTAAATGTTTCTGTTCTGAACTCAATATAAATCCTCAACTTCAGGAACTTTCCCATTCAGGAACTTTCACTTCAGTCCATTGACGCTCATATACCAGATAAGACATTTTTTATGCAGTAAACAGCCGAAGAAAAGCTCTGATATTAAATAATCAGATGCTGGATAAAATCTGATTTTAGCATCTGAAAAAAAATCGTTGGAAGTTGTTTTATGTGTTTCTGAAATTAAATAGGTCTTATTTCCTGAAATCCATGTGAGGGAGCATTTGCAGAATAATTGGTGTCAGAGTCCGTAAACAAGGAAGGCCCTGTGGATAATCACAAGCCGTGGCACAAAGCCACCTTTTCCTTCCAATTAGGAAACCAAAAAAGGGGGGCAAAAAAACAAAACTGCAGTTTAGAGGATGAATATGAGCTTGTATTAAAAAACTCAGTTTCTGCAACTGCATTCAGGCTAAAGGATGTGGTCATTCAGTTAACCACTTCCGCTCTACAGGACAACATGCTCATGTATCTGAACAGTTAATAATTAAAACCCTTGACCAAGTAGGCAGAAAAATCTCTTTGCATTTATTGGTACAGAGGTTGAGCTGCATGCTAGGGCTAAAAGCATGGAGTTAAAATCTCAGTTGTTTTTATGCAACTGGACTCGGATATAAAAACAATTCATTGCAAAGATCCTACTATGACTGAAGGTCTCTCATGTGTTGCAGATGATACAGATGGAAAAACAAAAGGAGCAATGTCAAGGTAACGGCGTGGATTTGTTCTTTAATTATTGTTTTTTATCGCATGATGAGAATTTTTAACATACCAAATTTAAGCTTTCTGGCTGTTAAAAAACCCACATCATTTAAATGTATTCATAAGGCACAAAATGTAAGTTAGTTATCTATATTGTAAGGTTTTACAAAAGCATTTTTGCAAGAGCTGATTTGATTTGGCAACTAATGCAAATTGAATGTAAAATCTTTATCCATTTTTAAATCAGAGTTGACATGTAAAAAGCCATCGTTATTTGAACAAATGTTAATTTAAAAAAATGTATTTCAATAAATAATTGTTTTTAACCAATTATTGGTAGAAGAGTACACGATTCTTATCCTGTCAATAATGATGACAGTAGAACAGCACTTCCTATTCTTTCCATTTGATCCATCTGATTTCAAATTAAGTTAATCTCAATTTTCCTCCTTTTTTCACTGTATTCTTTTGTTATATGAAATGTATTTTGATCAGTTGTCCCTTTCACAGGTTCCTGGAATATTACCATACTTTGTTGTCTAATTTGCCCAGCGCGTTAAAGTTAAATATAAATAAAGTTAATATTAACATCCACAGTGACTTTACACCTTGGTACGTTAAGCAAATATCTCTGTAATATCAGACGTAGTCCGCTATAGTGATAATATAGCACATTTTCCATCCCTTGGAACCATACACTATTATTAATTATTTGTTCTGTGATTTCAGTACATGCAGATAAGCCACAAAATGTTAATGCCGCTGACATAAAGTAATAATTTCATGTCTCTTTAGACTTAAAGTAATATTAAAGGTTTAGCGGAGGATGCCTTTTTTTCGGGTGGATCATCCAAATAAATGATCCTCCTATCTGTCAATCATTCTAGTGATATGTTTACGTAAGGCCGTCCTACGTGCTCGTCCCCATTTTTAATTAGTGAGTCTGACATAGTAAAAAATTGCAAATCTTCTTTTGGGAAGTAAGATTGTATGAGCTATACAAACAGCAACTTTTAAACAGAGCGTGCATGAGGAGAACTGGGCTCATGCATGCTCTCACACGTGTTTGATAGGCGGGTACAGGGTTGTGTATGTGCATTTTTTTCCTTTTTTTAGTGGACAGGAAGGGTCTTTTCAAAATTCGTGAAAATACTCCACTATACCTTTAAAGTTTCAGTCTGAATTCAAAAGAAAATCTTTGCAGGGAGCTAAAGATTAGAGGAATGGCAAAGATGTCTTCCAGCTTTAAAGACTTTGAGCTCATCGACAGAGATTATACCTGATGATGTTGGTTTTGTTTGTATAAATGTTTTCTGTATCCCAAGTTTTTTTTGCACCTGCAGGATTATTAATCCTTAAAGTTTGCTACTTAAATTGTGGAGAGCGCTTGGGCCGTCTGTCACCCTCTGATGGGGGTATTGGTCATCCAGGGTGAAAACAAGGGCACTATACTTCAGGCTTCACTCGGTGGAGGTTTACTGCAAAGCTTCCTCATATCCCCTTAAAAGGGATTATAGTTTTTTTTTTTTCTCTCTCGCTCTCTACAGACCTACCAGAGGGTTTATTTACCAAGTGCAGTTCCCATGAGGCTTTATCACAGAAAGTAGAATTGTGTTTGATAGAAGCAGAAAAGGGGATTACTCACTTTCACTTTGCTTCGTTTGACAAAGATGTTCTGCAGCTTGTCTCGCTGTCTAAGGACATCACAACACTGAAGTTGTACTTCTGTAAAAATTACATCAAAGGAGGGGAACAGAGGGTATCCTTTGCAAAGACATGCATCTCTTGTTTTATTATTTGTTTTCGCAATTTTTTCTAAAATCAATAGATGCAAACCGTGATTAATATACTTAATTTAAATGTTCATGTCGGGTTCCCTTTATTTCACTGAGACACAAGGAAAAACAAATGTAACTGGATCTTCGCCTGTCTAGGCCCAATAGGTGTCTGGTTCCTAAGCTGTGCTTCAATGCTTCACCCTTTTAAACAGATGTAGTTTCTTAATATACACAATATGCACTGCTAAAACTATTAACTAGAATTAAACGGATATATTTGCTGTAACATTTCCAAACATTTCATGCATACAACTTTTAACAACTATTAACAACTTAAAGATAACACCTACATTTATTTTCAAGCTACACATACTTAGATGCTTTTCATCTATGTAATAAAACACCTCTTACATTATAAATGTTATTTTTTTAAATTAAACTTTTAAGTATTATGCGTGTGAATTAGGATTCTCTCAAGTTGTGTTCATTTTATTACCATTTTTAAAGAATAAATAATCTGATATTTCACATGAATAAATCTTTAAATATTCATTTGTAAGAAAAAGAAGAATGAACACTAAAATGTGGAAATTTCTACTTAAAAAATGCATCTTATGTACTGAGAGTTTAAATATTTATTAAATTCTTTCTGAGATCCCAAAGGATGTACAGTTGTAAGTTCATTTACTACAACTCAAATTGTTATAAAAATATAAAATAAATATATTAGTATTTTGATGTTTAAAGCCTGTATATATCAAATGTGTTCTCACAATGAAATTTCAAACTTGTGTGAAAGCAAAGCCCAGTTTATGCAGAGGGGAGACAGATGGTGGACACATGACTTAGCAACTGTCACAGACTTCCTGGTTACTTGCCTGCAACCTGAGGTGCTTGATATCACCCACCATTATGACTGCCTACATCTGCCACCTGAATATTTTAACCCAGCTGCAGATCAGGTTGCAGATTACTGGTAAATTATTAATCCCTGTAGATTGGCTGAATTAGTGTCGAGCATTCGGATGTGAGGCAGCAAACAGTGTCACAGAAGCAGGTATGTTTGCTTTGTTGCTTTTTGGTCTGAGTATTTTTTTCTGTCTTGATTCATCAGTAACCATGAATAAAAACATGCATGAAGGGAAACTATTACAGATGGTATCTGTGTGGTGAGTGCAGTGGCAGTGGATTGTTACTAAGTAAATTATATATAGCCAGGTGAGTAGAGGTTATTTTACCTCAAATAAAGTAAAGGAATATATTTTAAGTAATAGTTATTAGCAATAACCTAATAGTCACCCTAATAAGTTCTGCATCTTTCTTTTTCATTGGAACTTTTAGACTCAGTTGGATGTTTTTTTAGGTGTTTGTTGCCAAGCAGATATATTGCATTAAAAACTAATAAAGATAGATGCTCAGAAAACAGAGGACTGGTTATATGTGCTACACTGGGGTTAGTTTTGCAGAACAGAAGAGCACTAATAAATGATTGATCCTGTTGTGTGTTATGCATTACTGTGGAATCAGCACAAGATGTCTGACTGAATGTTTGTTAATAGGTTATATATGTGCCTCTTTTAGCTGTTTAACAAGAGCCATCATCTACCAGTCCCAGCACTCTTAACAGCTGTGCTTGTCAAGGTCTAAGACTAGCTTGTGTGCACTCCAACTTCTAAACATGCTATCACATTCATACGCATGAATACTGCGAATGGTTGAAGGTCAAACAAACACAGGTTAGTACAGAGCCAGCCTGTTTAAATCTGGTTGCGGTTTGCATTGAATAAAGGAGTGTTGCTGTATAAGATACCATTGTGATGCTGAACAGCTCTGCCCTGGAAGATGAAATGTCAGTAAAGAACCTGCTGAAAAAATAAAAAGAATGTGTCATTAGTCCTCATATATCTGTATGCTCCTATTCCTACCAATATGATGGACAGAAAACCTTTTTTACGATTCTGCTGAAAATAACTAAATATATTTTATTAAAGACTTGGAAAATTAAATTAGTAAAAAATTAATACTAAAACAGATCAAAGATACAGATCTATATTGAATAAAGCTGTTATTCCTTAAACTGGTTCTTTGACTTATGATTAAGTCAAGCTTTCATTGCACCTATTTTTAAAAAATGATTAAGATGCCTGGGGATCTTTTTGACCTACAGATTGCAATTAAACAACAGCCCCAGAAACTTAGAACTTCCTTCCATTTTCCTAGCATTAAGCCCTAATCTGGAGGTGTGCGAGTTTCCATGAGGGTAGAATGATGTGCAAGGAGCCCTTAAATACTATATGTTGTATTTTTTTTCTGCTCTGCATTATTTGTTTCAGCTGCATGGTGAGATTATTTTTGCTGCATCCACTACAGTGATGCCTGGAAAATAACCGTGCCAAAGCTTTGAATTATTTTTGACATCATCAGCCATTCTTTCTTTGAATTGAGCAATGATTTTATTTATTTTATTTTATTTTTTTAGTGCTACTGGATTTGTTTGGTTTAGAGCTTAATGTGTTATGATGTGTTTTTAAAAACATCTTAGCCTAAGTTACTAGGCTGGAACCCTTTTTTAAATTCCACAGGTCCTACAATATTTGGTCAAGGTGTAGCTGCAATTACAAAAAAAGAAGAAAAAAACAATTGAACCACCAACAATTCATGATTAAATATTTAAGAAATATTCTGACACACAGCGATTCAAAGCAATTGCTTTTTTAAAAACAATAAATTGACATATTAAATCTTTCATCAAGACTTCTATTTTGCTCTTGATACTATTAGTTTCAATAAATTTATTCGTATGGACTGTTAATTAAGGAAAGATTCAAATATTAGCATTTAAAGACTTGGTCATTTATGTTATTTTCTTAATTTCATAGGTAACAAAATCCTTCCTTCCTTCCTTCCTTCCTTCCTTCCTTCCTTCCTTCCTTCCTTCCTTCCTTCCTTCCTTCCTTCCTTCCTTCCTTCCTTCCTTCCTTCCTTCCTTCCTTCCTTCCTTCCTTCCTTCCAATATCCCCTTTAAATTCATAATGAATTTGAATATTTTAACCTTTAAATCGAGCCTAAGTGACTCAAAACTAACCTTAAGAACCTGCAGGAATCCTGATTGACAGATTGATCCCTTTTTCAAACGATTAATCGGAGCTTCTTAGTCTGGTGGTAAAACTTAGTGATTACTTGGCAGGTTGTTAGGAAATGAGATGTAAATCACATTTAAAGACATAAACTTTCCTCAAATGTCTTTCTTTTAAGGACATGCTGAAGGATATCAGTTGGATCTGTGTGCTGCATATTTGAGCGTGTTCTTTCAACGGCCATCTAAAATCCCTTGTGATGTGATTCATAAACCTCTCTCCATGTGACAGGGTTAGACATAATTTTTCACATCAATTTTCCAGAGGACCTGACATAAAAGACTTCCCCTTCATTCCCTCAGGGTCAAACAACCTGTATGATGCATTAACATGTTTATGATGAGAGGAGCAGGAGTCGAATTGAAAATAAACATCCCTTTTCATCAGTTTTATCTGGACATGATGTCATTTTATTAAGAAAATGGATTTATGGTTTCCAGCATCTGAAATTATGGGTTTGTTATCTGCATTTTTTTTATTATAACACTCATTGCATTTAGTTCTAATAAAATCACGTTTTAGATATAATAATTGTCATGATTTGGTAGTGGATATATTACCCAAAATGCAGAGGAAGAGGTGATTTTCATGTGGGTTTAATAAAAGGTTAACAGAAAACAGAGGCAGGAAATCCAAAAATCCAAATTTGAAAAACTCCAAACAAGTCCAAACAAACTGAAAACCAGGAGCCCAAAAATCCCAAAATCAAAACATGAAAACAAAGTCTAAACAAACCAGAAACCATGGAGACATCAGGGGGGATTCAATCTAGAAGAGGAAGGCTCAGAGAGACGGAGTTGGAGGGAGTTAGACGAGGACCCAGCAAACAAGAACTGAAGAGGGAGAGCATTTAAAGGAGACTGAGACAAAGAGAAGACTAATGAGCGGATTGGGAACAGGTGAGCACAGGGCAGGAGAGGAAAAGAGCATAGGAAAAAGGAGAACACAAGGGCAGCAGAGGGGAACAAATAAAAAACCTAGAAAGCTGAAAATAACCAGAAAACACAACAAAATAAGAATTAGACCACTAAGTAAATAAGACATGTAGCAAAGTAAAACTGAAAACCCCAAAAAACAAAACAGAGCCAAGAATGAAACAGTAACTAAGAATAAACCAGAGAACACAGCAAAATAAAAATAAAACCACTAACACTAGAAAACAAGGTGTAAAGCAAAACTGAACACTAAAAAGAAAATATAACCGAACCTGAGACAGTAACTGAGAAAAAACCCAAGGAACACAACAAAATAAGAATTTAACCCTAAAAACCTATAAAACAAAGAGCAAAGCAAACCTGAATATCAAAAGAAAAACATTACAGAAACAGAAACCTAACAATAATGTTCTAAAACACCCAGCATGGAGATTGTTTCATAAAGCTGCTTGTTCTGAGGTGTGGTGAAGGTTCGCCGCTTCAGGTCAGGTAATCTCTGACCAATCCAATTGATCTCCAGGAGATTTCACTTCTTAGTGCACAGCGAGGTCTCAGTGGAGACGGCTAATTCAGTGACTGTGGGAAACACCACTTGTTGCCTGTCCTCTTGAGGGAAGCATTTGCTGTTGCTATCCTTGTTGCTCTAGTATGATCACCGGAGACTCGTTCCTTGTAACTTTTCACAGTGCTGATGAGTCAGAAGAACATAACATTCGCCATGTAAGTAGCCACTGCAGTTTGTTCTGGGATTTTTCTTGCTTTAAGTTCATAATTTGACACCCTGGTCTGTACAGTCATTTGCTAAGTAAGCTGTTGGGAAAATATTTAATATATTAATTGTTCATGAATTTCATCTGCTTATAACTTTAGCTGATATATTTTTCTCATGTTGCAGAAGTGCAGAAGTGTGACCTCTGGGTTCATTCACAATCAGCTTTTTGTTCCCTTACAAAGTATTTAGCCTTAGAGAGGGGATTATTGTTATCCTTGGTTTACATAAACTAATAGTATCATAAGATTTTGACAGGATTTGTGAAAACATTGTTGATCTGGGATCTGGTTTGTTCCTCAGGACATCTCTGTATGGACTGTTCCCCTACAAGTCCAGCATGATCGGGCTGGAGACCCTAGGAGATCCCTCAGCAGAGTGGGACATAGTGGAGACCATTGGGAAAGGGACGTACGGCAAAGTCTACAAAGTGACCAACAAAAAGGATGGGAGCCAGGCGGCAGTGAAGGTTCTAGACCCCATCAACGTGAGTCCCTTCAAAACATCCCATGACATGAGTCTTTTGAAACTCTGCATATTTCAAATGTTTCTCTGCTTTAACACACCTGAATCCAATGGCTGGACAACTTCAGTTAATGAAGGACGGTGAGCCCAAAGGACTACAGCTGGATAGAAACCAGCAGCTACATAAACAGGACAAGAAGTGGGAAAGGGTCTCACTCAGGGAGCCAGGGTGGTATACTGTGGAAATCTGTGTGGGATGCAAGCAGCCTGCTTTAAGCACCAGAGCACCATTTCTCCCATCTAAGCTCTCTCTGTTTGGCAGCATATTGATTGTTATTTTTAGATATTTGGTGGATCTAGAAACCAGCTGGATGGTGCTTTATTCATATGCATTTTGCTTTGCTTTCATAGAGTATATAAAGTGTTCCATTAGGAAGAATCAACTTGTTGCTTTTTTGCCTACATCACCTTTTATTCTTCTCCCTAGTTAATGTATTTGTGATTATCTAACTCTGAAAGAAAATGTATGAAAACAACTTGAGTTAATTTATTAAGAAATTATTATATTCTTCAATATGAAAGGTTCTGTCATTACAAACACATTAGGAACTATATAACCGAAGTATATTTCAGGCATACTTTCATTTTTTAGATGACGGTTTTAATTTAATATATATATTTCATTTATTTTTCTGTGACTGTAAAGAAAACGTTAAAAGCAGACATTTATAAATAATTTTTTTTCCCCAGTTAAATTTAAATTTGCATTTCAGTCCAGTGGCAGAAACAGGACAAATCTTTAGAAACAATAATTTAAAACAAAAAAATTAAATGAAATTTTTTTTTTTAAATCTGTATTTTTTAAAACCCTTATTATAACAAAAAAAAACATCTTTGAGGTCAGTACGTTGTCTCCTCAAAATAGTTATTGTTAATGTGTAAATCTGTTAATTAAATGATTAAATCGGTAAGATGCTGATGTGCAGCATTATGGTGGATTTGTAGACCAAATGTTTTCAGCATTAAGGTTACTATGGTATAGGGCAGTGATGTCATGTTTCCTTAACAAAGATTTGTAGAGCTTTTAAATCGATCTAAGAGGTTTTGGGGTCAAGGAAGCTTTAATTATTAATTCAACTTCTTTCCTTCCCTATGGAGTATAAATATCACATGACACAGAAGATAATTTCTCGTACACACTCATAAAAAAAAGTCCAACAAAAAGGACCAGAGGATATGGGATTCATATATATATATATATATATATATATATATATATATATATATATATATATATATATATATATATATATATATATATATATATATATATATATATATATATATATATATATATATATCCTTCCATCTTCTCGGGACAAGTTTTATAATGCTTAAAGGGGCCTTTTCACATACCATGCCTATAAAAGAAGCACCAAACCAAATACCATGTGTTCGAGTTAAAATAAAGCAGTATAACTCTCAGCTTTCCTTCAGTGGTTGTCTATTTAATTCCTTTTGAGCCTGAATTTTTGTATTGGGCACGATCAGCAGACATAAACCTTGTTGCATGTCATCATCATCTGCTGGCAGTAAACACCAGCGTAATATTCAGAGCGTTAACTCTGTCCTATCCCTCTCGAGATCCAGTTTTGCACTTTTTTACACTTTGGTTTTGACTTTTCCTCTTTCTTTTAAAAACCTTGCCTTAGACTTGCTTGGATCATTGCTTCATGTTTACTCTTTACACACAAATCTTACCTCCAGTCACCTGGTCTTTTTGTGGTAAATAAAGAAAGCTTAAGTTTACTAACAAATGGAGCAAAAAAAATGTGTAAAAAAGAAAAAGTAGATATAATAAGCCAGGAGGGTGCCATCATTTAACCTGAAGGCTTTTTATTATGCAACTACAGAAGCTACTGGCTTTGAAATGTGTGAATTCATATTACCTGATCTAGTCCCTTTATTCAATTATTTCATATCTAATTAATCAGATTTATCTTTGATTTATACAGGCAATCCTTTTTTTTAGGATTTCAAACACTAATTTGTTTTTAAGATTACTAAATGCTCACTCAGAAATAAAAAAATTGGTCATTTTACAACCAGTTTGATCTTTAGACAACTTTAATTCAGGCTGAGCTGTATCTGTCATTAAATAAACTAGCTCTAAACTTTCGAACAAAACCCTAACATGATATTATCTCTTAGCTAATTTAAAACTAAAGGCTATCCGATCACTCATTCTGCCCTTTGAGGAATTCTAGAGCAAATATTTTGATAATTTTACATGTAAAAAATAATAAAACAGTAGTAATATTAGTTCTTCTTAAAATGTTTTGGGAGCCTGAAGCCATGCTGAACTATACTGGAGAACATTGTGAACAGGGCTGTAAAATCTTTGCATATTGCTCTCTAATGGTTCTGCATGTGCAAAAAGTGCTAGAAAAACACAGAGGACTCCTGTTTCAGGGTCCCTGCTTATGTTTGCAAGCTTTATATTTGGTTAATGATGCTAGTAGTTCTTCTTTAATCCTGATTATGCACCAATTGTAGCTTCAGCACCACATAATAGAGACAGAATCCTTTCCACGAACAAGACGCCTGTATAATGGTAATGTGACTCCATGAGTGTGATGGAGATCATGCATTGTTAAGATCATTCTTGTCTGACTGAAAACTTGACTACTTCTTGGCACTAAAACATTTGTGTTTTTTCCTATAACTGGGACTTCCTGCAGAATTCAAGCAGCTCAAACAGAGTAGGTGGCAAGTCCTGTTTCCTCTTCATCTTGATGCAGTTTCTTTTTGTTCTCCCTGCTACGATTCATACCCCCTTTGCCACCACACTAGTCTAGTGCAGTCTTTGCAGATAGCATAGCTTCTCTCTGCATAGCCATTCATTTTTCTGCTTGATGAGGATACTGTAGACCATGTTTGGGCCCCACTTGTCATGAAAGCTGCTTGTGACTGTGTCAGTGGAAGGATCCACCATCCTGACAGCCCGATCCCCCACCATGCTCCCCTCAAGAAGACGGAGCAGCCACCGCTCCCATCTCTCTCCCTGATTAGACTGCTGACACCATCACTCAGGCATCCAGGAGGAGAAATTCTACCTCTGTGGCTGTGGATCTTCTCTCCCTCTGAGATTTACTTTGATAGAAAAGTGGAGCCAGCAGTACTTCAGCTCTACAGCCCATCCTATCTATGTGTTACTATTTTATAACCCTGTCCTAATCATAGCTACCTAGTGTTGCATTGTAGCTAAAAATAGATCACACCCTTAAAACATTATTTGTGATGCATATTGTTGCATACTTTGCAAAGCTTTGCTTAAAACTTGCCTGTTTGCTTCTTGAAGGATGTAGATGAGGAGATAGAAGCAGAGTACAACATCCTGAGGTCCCTGTCCAACCATCCTAATGTGGTGAAGTTTTATGGCATGTTTTATAAGTCTGACAACTTATCCGGTGGACAGCTCTGGCTGGTACTCGAGGTGAGCTCTTTTTTATGTTCGGATTATTTTTAATTTCCAAGTCTAATATCAAACCTGAAATGGTCTGTCGGTTTTATGTTATTAATTTATTTTGTTTTTAATTTATTAGATTGATGAATATTTGTTCAACATTATTAGTTCTAACATATCTTAAATATCCGTATATTTAATTGAACTGTATCTAATGTTTTGCTTATTTGACTTTTACTTATATTTAATGATTGAATTATTTTCTATTTCAATTTAATTTTATGGTACTGAGAACTCAGGTGGTTGGTACATGTCAGCTGTTCAGCTTGAGTTGTCACATGACTCAGATCAAACCCACAAAAGCGTTAATAAGATAACAGGCTGAGGTCAGTGACCCAAATGAACTAAGGGTTCCTGAAGGATGGATGTAAACATTGATCTTATGGTGAACTTTCACCATAAATCTGGTAAAACTAAATAAACCTGAAATGTGTTGATACTAAAAATAAAGTGATCTCCATTTGAGCAGTCAAGATTATGAGAAACTGAAAGAAAAAGTTAAACTGCATTAGTTTGCTTGAGCATTTTGCGTACAATAGGCATTTACTTTAGTAAAATGTTATTTTCTGCTGACAGCATACAATTTTTTTTAACAAGAAAAAAAAAAACAAAATATATATTTTTTCCATTGAGTTTTGGAGGACCAAATATGAATGATTTTGCATAATAAGATAAAAAGAAAACACTAAACACAGTACCTAAAAAAGGTACTATTTTATTAGTTTTAAAGATTTAAATGATAGGGATAGGTCATCTTCAGCTGTCGATGTGTAAACACAAAACAGAAAAAAAAATCTAATTTGGAACCTTTAGAGAAACTTTAACTTCCAGAGACATAAACTGTGAAATTGTGTGTATGTACCTTGCATTTCAATAGCATAGGAAGATATGCAGTTTTAGGTTTTAAAGAAGCGATTGTTTCCTTCCTGTGCATTTAGTAGCATAAACAGTTTTATGTTCTGCAAAGCCAGGAAGTTACATGTTGTTTGTGATCATGCAACCTCTGCATGCCACATAAAATGCAAATATAGGACTGATATCCTGCAGGAGTGACTGCATCATAACATCACACAATCTCACTTTACTCTGCAAACTTTTTGTCAGTGCTGATACATATTTACTCCCTCCCGGAATGCTGAATTCTTGGATTGGCTGTAACCAAAGGCAGCCTTACTAACTTCAGTATACCTTAACAATTTGATCACAAAATCAGCTTTATTTAGTCAGATTGAAATACAAGAGCAGAGGTTATACATACAGTAGTGAGATAGAAAACTGTTTAATAGCAGCTTAAGTATTTGGAAATACTCTGCAGGCGCAGAGTTTCTAAACTAGCCTGATGCTATTGTTCTGACAGATGAGGCTGAGCTTCTTTCGCCAGCTTGGATGTGTGGCCTAACCCTCACCATGAATCATAATTTAGAACGGTGAGTGATGGACGAGTCACTGTTGTTTCTCTGTCTCCCTTGCAGCTGTGCAACGGCGGCTCCATCACAGAACTCATCAAAAGCCTGATCATGCGCGGCCAGCGTCTGCAGGAGTCTGTCATCTCGTACATCTTGTACAGTGCCCTCTTGGTAAACTGGCAGCTGATGATAAGCAGCAGCTTGGATGCAAACATGCTTCATCTCAGGGCCTTTTAAAAAGCATCCACACCATTAAACATTTTCACCTTTTGTCCCCAACACAAACCAAATGTATCTTGTTAGGATTTTGTGTGATAAAAGACAGAAAGCCGTGCATATTTGTAGAGTGGAAAGGAAAAACATGGTTTTAAACTTTTTATTTAGAAACAAAAATCTAAGAGTGTAGCATGCATTTATATTAAGCCCCCTTGAATGAATATTTTTACAACTTTTGCTGTTACTACTGAGAGTCTTTTAGGAATTACCTCCACCAGTTTTGCATATCTACAGAAAGACACTTTTAGATTGGATTTAAGTCTCAGATAAAGCTGTGGTCTCCATTCATTTGAAGCCAGTGTCCTGCAACTTTAAAATTCATCTATGATCGGCACACCTGAATCAAATTGATGAATTAATTCTTGGTAGACAGGAGTTCTGCTTATAGCCCATTTATTAAACCCATGTAGGCTAAAGCAAAAACACGTGTAAAGATTTTAGGACTCTTGCCCCTCTAGTTCCCTGATCCTCTTCTAGGTTTTCTCTTTATTTCACAGCATCAATCTTCAGGTTAACTCTGACAGGCTTCTCTGTCTTTACTGAAGTACAAATAAGCCAAAAAGTTTTTGTCTTATTGGAGCACATTCTTCCACTCATTTGTTTTGTTTTCTTTATGGCTTGTGGGAAATCACATATCTTTTTGCTCAGGGCTTTAGTTTCAGCAATAGTATGATTCCTGCCAATCTTTTGCTTGACTTATAGATGTCCAATCAATTTAACAGAACTTTTCTTCATTTAGATTAAAAATTAGTAAATAGCATCTATTTGTTAACTATAATTAAGGAAATTTGTTTGTTTTGTAAACACATTAAAAAAACAAAAGAAAACAAAATTTTTGTTTTCTCAGTACTTTACAATTACAGGCACATCTAGAAAACGTTATTATTAATAAGTTAATCACTTTTTGTTACTGATCTTAGAAACTGAAACCATTGCTGACATTTATTAAACATAGTAAAATATTTCATTTTGATGGTTATGGTTTACAGATAATGAATGAAGACCCAAAAGATAAGATCATATAAAAAAAGAACATTTCTAATGTATTAACACTATAAAATGGCCACATTATAGTCTATATAAACATGTGGAAAAAAGCTGGTTTAACAGATGTTCAGATGAAAGTCACTGATTACCTTCACAAGGAAGGTAAGGCAAAAAAAGCTGGATCCAAGCATAATCATAGAAAGTTGGTTGGAAGGTAAATGCTAAGATAGGGCACCAGCAGCAGTGATAACTGCAGCCAGGAGAGGATCGGAGTAAAGCAAACAGGAACTGCACAAGAAGAGGAGTGAGTCTGCACATGATAGGCCGTTACATACACAGAAAACCTGAACAGGGGCTGCAAATGTCCCGTTCCCCGTGTCAGAACCCCACCTGGGATAAAGAAAAAAAATGGAAATTACCTTAGTGGACCAAATATATTAGTTTGCTTTTTTTTTTTTTATAATCCAGGTGTGAAGAATGGAAAGGTCCAAATTCAAACTGTCAATTTAAGGTCTAGTGAGAAGTCTTCACAATCAGTCAGGATTTAGAGCGGAAAGTGACCTAGTGTTGGCCTGCTTTGATATCTTAAACAACATCTACCAGGGAATTTTATCGATATAAATCCTTCTTTCTGATCTTTAGCTTTATGGAGATGCGGATTCCACTTTTCAGCTGGACTTGGTACTTGCCCACACTGCCAAAGCTGTTTTAATGTACACGGTGTTACTGAGTGTGACTGGCCAGCAAACTGCTCTGAACTTAACCCCAAAGAGAATCTAAGCTTTATGGTCAAGAAAAAGATGAGAGACAGCAGACCGAACAGATGATCTGAAGGCTGCTATCAAAGCCACCTGGACTTCTATTAGCTCAGCAGAACCACACACCGATCTCTATGCCACTGATGCTGTAATTCATGCAAAACGTGCTGATCAAATAATCCGTGAAAAGAAATGAGCAAACTTTACAGAAGCCTGAATTTCTGTCTATCCTTTTTAATTTTTAAGACTTACCTTATATTCTAATTTCCTGGAACATTAAATGTTGAGTTTTTGTTATCTGTAAAGCATAATCACTAAAATGACATGAAATAAAGGCTTAAAATTTCTTTCTATGTGCGATAAATATATGTAATATTTACTGCTGGGTCTTAATAAGGTTCAGCTTTCCAATGCAAAAAGGTGAAATAGGTTAAGAAAAAAAATTAAGCAATTTATAATAAACCGAAACAGGCAAGAAAAACTGTGAAATAATTCAAAATGCAATCACCCTTTCCTATAGAATGTGCTTTATTTCTTTTTTGTTTTTATTAAACAAATTACTGTGTTTAGCACAATGTGTATTCTTGTTCCCCGACCTAAAGGGTCTGCAGCATTTGCACAACAACCGGATAATCCATCGTGACGTCAAAGGCAACAACATCCTCCTTACAACTGAAGGGGGAGTCAAACTGGTTGACTTTGGTAATTATCTTTTTTGCTAAAAGAAAACAATGTTTATTCTTGCAAACTTGTTTTATTTAAATTTTTTTGCTACATGACTAGAGCACATTGATTGTTAGGTATGAACACAAGCACAGGGTAAACCATTTGATGTGCTCCACACTCTTCAGTTCTCTGCTCACCATAACATCTTTTTATTTCATGGAGCGTAGCCTGAACCTGGGGCTATTATTGCTCGTTTAAATTGCATTATTTGATGCTTTGCATATTAAGAGAAAGCTGCTATGGCAAATGACTTTGAGTCGCCCCCAGGCGTGTTTATGTCCCCCGTGTCATGGAGATGAAGTGGACTCATGCTGATAAAAATCTGTCCTACATAATTTGAAATGATTATGGCCTAGTATTATTATTGCTTGGCTGTTTACCACAGCAGATTGTACACAAGGATTTATTGATCCATTCAAACATTTTGTACCTGTTATAAATCTGACTTTGGCTTTTAGGGTCTTTATGCAGCGGAGTGTGAATTTTGTTGTCGTTTTCTGCAGGTGTTTCAGCTCAACTGACCAGTGCACGGCTCCGGAGGAACACATCAGTGGGGACGCCGTTTTGGATGGCTCCTGAGGTCAGACATCCTAAAAAACAACAATGCATGCTTTAGTGCTTTGTGCTTTCATACAAGTCAGTGGAGTTGTTATGTGTTAGCCTGAGCACCGGTTATTTTAGTGAGCCTCCCTCCTTTGTGTCATTGCCTATTCCCCTCCTGCTCTCCTCTACAGGGGCAGCTCTTGAGGTTACCTCAAGGTTAATAGCTGGGAGTCTAAGGGCCCCTCGGCTTACTCTGTGACAGAAATGAGGTGCGGTGATTGGGCCTGTTGGGCAGGGACCTAAGGGGCAATTAGAATAAACTGAGCTGGAAAATGTAGTGTCACTTATAATTATTGACTGTAGGAAAGCAGAGCTCACAGCGGCAGCTATTCTGAGCTGACCCAGCTTGAATCTGCTTTAAATAAGCTGGATTTTCTTTAAGCTTTGAGTCAGTGAAACAGTTTAATTTTCATTTGACACACTGCTTAAGTGAAATCCCTCTTTATTCAAGCGTGGATGTTTGGACTCAGATGGTGTGTTTTGTTGCCAGGTCATTGCTTGTGAGCAGCAGTACGACTCCTCGTATGACGCCCGCTGTGATGTGTGGTCTCTTGGCATCACGGCCATTGAGTTGGCTGAAGGAGACCCCCCACTGGCTGAGATGCACCCAGTGAAAGCTCTATTCAAAATTCCTCGGTGAGTCCAGCAGAGGGCGCCCCTACCCCACAGGTAGACCACATTGTTGCCCCCCTCCCACCAAGTTAATAGAACAATGGTAAAACCTCACAGCAGTCCAATAGGGAGATTAATGTACTGGCCTTTTTTTTTTTTTGCTATGGCTGTCAGACAGTTATTGTTGAATTATGGTAAAATCCACACCACAAAAAAGGCTTAAAGTAATTCTAATGATATATTCACTGCATATATTCACTTTTGTGAATGGTGAATGTCTGACGAGGGGTTACACATGTTTGACCTTCTCTTGAGAGCACAACCATGCAATTATCTCTCGTTTGTTGGAGATGGGCTCCTCTGATTGCAATTTGCATTAGTGATTAGCTCCATTCACACCGAGATGATGGCTGTCAGCCCCCCCTCTGCCCAGTCCTGGTCACAATATTATCTCCTTCCCACCAACATGCAAAAGCACAGCTTGTGCAGCAGAAACTATGCATTTAGCATTTCATCATCAGCGCCAAATCTGACCCAGAAGGAAGATAGTTTGAATTAGTTGGGGTTTACTGATTGTAAGATGTGTTGGTTAAATTCTCATAGATATCTCATATCATTTTGCTTTACAACATCTTTTTTTGTATTTCACCTAAAGATTTTTTTTTTTAGTTCTATCCATGCTTCAGGACTGACCTTTAAAATTACAGTTTATCCTGGCTGAGTTGCTATTAAAACAGAGGCATCTAGCTTAATTTTTTTGGTTAATCAGCAGAAGAAACTGCACCATTAATCAGCATAACTAAGGGAATTAGGCTCTGCACTTTAATATCTTTCTGGGTAACAGTGTGTAACAAAAAAAAGGGAGAAAAGAGAAAGTCACTATTTGCTCCTTTTGAATTTATACTCTCTAGAGATACAGGTTTTTTAAGCCCCATACCAATCATTTTGACATCAGTTTAACTAATCTGATATCTGCTGTCGATTTTTGGGGGATTTTCTCCCTTCATTCACTTGGAAAAATAACAAAATGATGACAGTTGTTATAAACAAATTAAACAAAACATTAACAATTGGTAGCAAATGGAGGGGGCGCAAATGCAATCCCTTTGGGTGATCGAAAGGATCATCTGCTAGATGCTTGAATCAATCAGCAAACGTTGGTCTACCTCTAATAAGGACCAATGTCAAAACAAACAGCAGCAATCTTATTGCATTTTTCGAGACTCAGACACAGAGTGTGTAGAAAATGAAATTCCGTTTTATACAGCTTTCAGACAGTAAATGATCAGCAGCTTAGCAGTGAAATAAACATTTCCATTTTATAAAGTTCAGCAGTGATCCAATACAAACACCGTGGAGTAAAAACATGGTGCAAAAGGCATTGATATGGAAGTTCAGATGATTTCAAGCATTTCAGCTTCTGATACGTAATTAATGACTCTCTGTATACTTAAGTGTCACCTCAAACTAAGACTAACTTCCTGTTGTTTCTGCCGACAAAACTGAACAAGCCAACATTTTTATTTCACTACATATTTAGCAGGATGGTACAGAAAGGAAAAAAAAAAAAGATAAATGGCCAAATGTACAGAGAGTGAGGCATAGAGTTTATACACTTTTCTGGGGCTATATGTTGTCAATTACTGTGAATGATAGATAAACACGTCATGCCCACTGTTAGGTATGGTAGAGGATCTGTGATGCTGTGGTGTGCATTTTTGTCTCACAGGGGAGTGGTCGGTACCAGAAAACTGCATAATGGGAGGAGACTGTCTTTCAAAACATTTTTTCATATCTACACTAAGAAGGTTCACCAAACCTTCTTACATGATGGCCACACAACCAAGACTTAGATCATTACAAAACAAACATGATAAACATTTTGTAATATCATTACAAAATAAACATCAGGCAAGGGGATGGCCCAGAACAATCATTTCTTGACATAATTTATTTCCCCCCTCAAAAAAAAAAGTATTTATTGAAATATAAAAATCTACATATTCTAGTCTCTGGTTTAATTTATTGAGTTACTGTTTCTAACCAGTTCTTCCATCCCAGCATATCAGACTATAATTAATTCATTTAAATAAAAAAGGATAAAAAAAGATATATTTCATACACCATATCTCCTCCCCTCTCTATTCAAACTAAAGTATACACAGTTTGGCCTTATCCTTTGAATTGTGACCTGTAAGGTTTAGTGGTTGTTAAATAAATCACAGTGTGTGTGCAGGCATGAAATGATTCTTTCACCATGACATTTATCTCAAATGTATTTCGCTCCGATGCTGCGGCGCAGATGAATTCAGGAGGAAATGCTCGTATCGCTCCTGAAGGAATTACTTTCTAAATAAGGAAATTTTTCACCTATAGGTCTCTGGTGGCGGCGCGAGTGATCCATGATAAGATCTTACAGATTCCTCTTCACAGGGCTTTAGTGATTGGAGAGCTTCTGATATTTATGTACTTTCTTTTTAAATGCATCACATAGCCTTTTCAAATGGTTTCTTCTCCTTGTGAGAAGTCCTTGACTCATTTATGTTTTCATAAAAAGATGCAATAAGTATTTAAAATCACCGGGTTATTTAAAATGAGCACGTATAAAGGAGTTCCATTGTTATGTACTACGTTTTGTCTGTTTAATTGGCTTTACTGTTTCTTTAAAACTCTACTAGAAGAGCTGAAAAAGTGTCCTAGGTGTACACCAGCTTGTATCTTATACCTGTGTGCGTCACTGTTCTGAAAGGATCAAAAATTGCCACAATTGTCATGTGGCAATTATGACAACTTTAAAGAAACAGAAATTGTGAAGCACTGAATTTGATTGTAGGGCTCAGTTACTAAAGGGTCACCTCTATATTTGATCTGGTATAGAGATATCTCACCAATCTTGCTAAAATATCTGATAAACTATTTACAATTTTCAGGATTGCTTAGATGTTTGTGAGTTCCTTTACTCTATTATTTGAATGATGACAATAATTAGGGGTGCTGCAGTGTGCATGATATAGCTGGGATGTTCTCGAGGGCTACGAGAGAACGTAATGAAGCATCACAGAAGACAAAGCTGTAAAATCATCAACTGCAAAACTAATTAGTGACATCAAGGGTGTTCTTCGATATTTAGTGTGCAGGAAAGGTTAATCGCTGGTGCTGGGTGCTCTCAGCGCTATAAAGCTTCAGAGCGTCCATGTAAAGTCAAACCAAAGTGTGTAAAATTTGCTGTAAAGGTTAGAGAGACTGCAATGACAGACAAGGTTGTGATTGTTCATCCAGATCTCCGTCGACATTACACACACATAAAAACGAGCGTGCATCCGTCTGAGCAAAGACCAGAACGAGGTAGATGGAGTAAATGATGGCTTGTCATGGGCAACAAGGCCTAAAGATATCATGAATCCAAGGGAGAGAGATTCAGAATGGTCAGACGCAGATAAAAACGCCCTCATAAAAAAAGCTCACCCAAAGTTATGCCCCTAGGAGCAGCAAACAATGAGAGCTACCAACGGTGCCTGGGAAGTTACTTTTAGAATGTTATTACAACCCCATGGCTGAATAACAGCATGAAATACTGACTCTTGGTGGATGTTCAGGCAACTGTTTCACTTTACAACAGCAAGGAAAAACGTGACGAAAAAGACAAATGTGACACAATTCCAATCCAACTTTATTTATAAAGCACTTTAAAATTTTTTGCAAGACCAAAGTGCTGCACAGTGAAACAGCATAAAACCATTACAAGACATCCATCCATTATCTGACACGCTTGGGGTCGCGAGGGGTGCTGGTGCCTATCTCCAGCTGTCAATGGGCGAGAGGCGGGGTACATCCTGGACAGGGCAACACATAGACAAACAGGACAAACAACCATTCATGCACACACTCACACCTAAGGACAATTTAGAGAAACCAATTAACCTAACAGTCATGTTTTTGGACTGTGGGAGGAAGCCGGAGTACCCGGAGAGAACCCACACATGCTCAGGGAGAACAACCTGGGCTGGGAATCGAACCCAGAACCTTCTTGCTGCAAGGCAGCAGTGCTACCCACCGTGCCACTGAGCAGCCCCATCACAAGACATAAAAAACATAAAAGCATAAAAGACATCTTGAAATTTAAATCTGAATTGTAAATCAACATCTCACATGCACCATCGTGCAAGGGTGCATGAAGATGCAGCAACTCGGAAAGATAAGTTGGAGCAAGACCATTAAGCGACTTAAAATAAATAGAAGAACTTTGAAATGAATGCTGAAATATACAGGGAGCCAGTGTAGTGAGGCTAAATGTGGGTAATGTGCTCATATTTACAAGTGCTAGTTAAATGACGTTCCACAGCATTTTGCACAAAAGAGGAAAGAATGACAACAAAGACTATTCAGTAGTATTGGAAAAACCATCGTATCTAAAATGTAAACAAAATAAAGGAGTTTTGGAGAAACAGAGGAACGGACAGATGTTAAGCTTTACTAGAGGTGGTATGGAAGAGGATTAGGGTAACTGAGAAAAAAAGTTAACTGATTTTAAAATTTTTGTTTCGGTATAACATGGGAAGAAAAGTCAGAATTCTGATTTTTTTTTCTCGGAATTCTGATTTTTTTCCCCTCAGAATTTTGACTTTAATCTCCGAATGCTGATTTTTTCCCCTCATTATTCTGGCTTTAATGGTTAAAGTCAGAATTCTGCGATTAAAGTTTAATCGCAGAATTCTGACTTTTTGTTAAAAATTTTGACTTTAATCTCAAAAGTTTGGATCTTAATGTTTCGGAAGAGGATTAGAGGTGGTGAAGTATATACAGGTGCTGGTCATAAAATTAGAATATCATGAAAAAGTAGATTGATTTCAGTAATTCCATTTAAAAAGTGAAACTTGTATATTATATTCATACATTACATACAAACTCATATATTTCAGATGTTTATTTTGTTTAATTTTGATGATTACAAATGACAACAAATGAAAATCCCAAATTCATCATATCAGAAAATTAGAATATTACTGAAGACCAATAAAAACAAA